GGTTCCAGTTCGCAAACTGTTAGTCATTACCAGAAGGTAGTGGTGAATGATGGTGAATGATGGTTAATAGTGGTTGTTAATAATGATTAACCACTATTAACCACTACTAACCATAATGGTAACCATTAATGATTGTTAATCATTATGTTAATGGTAAATGATTGTTAATAATGATTCGTATCCGTTCATAGCGGGGAACCATGGCGGAATAGTGTGGCTGGTTGTGCTGGATTAATATGCTTTATCCTCTGGTTATTCATCAGATTGCGATCAAAAATGACCAATTTATAGATTATTTACCTATATTTATCAATTAAACATGGTGATTGTCCATAGCAAGCTCTTAAATTACCAAAGGGTAAATGGCTTTGTCAGAAAATGGCCTGGGGAGGCTTACCCTGAAAAAAACACAACCATATCGCCTTGCTTTTGTGGATGAAGTCACTTTTTAAACCATGGTATCAAACCAGACCCATCAATCTGGAGAAATTCTATTCTGGTTGGTGGTTTTAACCATCTTGAAAAATATTAGTCAATGGGAAGGATTATCCCATATATTATGGAAAATAAACATGTTTGAAACCACCAACCAGTATTAAGTCACCAATAATATGATGATTAATGATGGTTAATGATGATTAATGATGATTAATGATGGTTAATGATGGTTAATGATGGTTAAACTAATGGTTAATGATGGTTAATGATGGTTAAACTAATGGTTAATGATGGTTAATGATGGTTAATGATGATTAATGATGGTTAATGATGATTAATGATGGTTAATGATGGTGGAAATAATGGTTAATGATGGTTAATGATGGTTAATGATGATTAATGATGGTTAATGATGGTGGAACTAATGGCTAATGATGGTTAATGATGATTAATGATGGTTAATGATGGTGGAACTAATGGTTAATGATGGTTAATGATGGTTAATGATGATTAATGATGGTTAATGATGATTAATGATGGTTAATGATGGTGGAACTAATGGTTAATGATGGTTAATGATGATTAATGATGGTTAATGATGGTGGAACTAATGGTTAATGATGGTTAATGATGGTTAATGATGATTAATGATGGTTAATGATGATTAATGATGGTTAATGATGGTGGAACTAATGGTTAATGATGATTAATGATGATTAATGATGGTTAATGATGGTGAAACTAATGGTTAATGATGGTGAATGATAGTTAATGATGATTAATGATGGTTAATGATGATTAATGATGGTTAATGATGGTGGAACTAATGGTTAATGATGGTTAATGATGGTTAATGATGATTAATGATGGTTAATGGTTCATCTCCGTTACCCTCTGGTAAACGTTTACAATTCGCGATGGCAAACCACATTTTTAATAGGTAAACCAACTATTTCTATGACCATGTTCAATAGCAAACTGTTAAATTACCATAAGGTAGTGGTGAATGATGGTGAATGATGGTTAATAGTGGTTAACATAATGGTAAATGATTGTTACTAATGATTCGTATCCGTTCATGGCGGTTAATCATGGCAGAATAGTGTGGCTGGTAATGGGATTAATTTGGTTTATCCTCTGGTTATTCATCAGATTGCGATCAAAAAAAACACCAATTTATAGATTATTTACCTATATTTATCAATTGAACATGGTGATTGTCCATAGCAAGCTCTTAAATTACCAAAGGGTAAATGGCTTTGTCAGAAAATGGCCTGGGGAGGCTTACACAGCAAAAAAAAAAAACACAACCATATCCTTGCTTTTGTGGGTGAAGTCACTTTTTAAACCATGGTATCAAACCAGACCCATCAATCTGGAGAAATTCTATTCTGGTTGGTCCATTGGTGGTTTTAACCATCTTGAAAAATATTAGTGAATGGGAAGGATTATCCCACATATTATGGAAAATAAACATGTTTGAAACCACCAACCAGTATTAAGTCACCAATCTGACAGGTTCAGTTACGTTCAGTCACTTTGGGATAGTTACAGACAGTGGATACGCCATTTCATCCACGGATAATCATGATTTCCCTATAGTCCTTGCCATAATTGGAGGGTTGATACCCTTTGAGGCAACTAAACAACTAAAAGTTGAAAACGTGGAAGAGGTAAGCATAGTCTATACATTGCCCCAATCTTAGATACCCTGCAAAAAAATAAATTCTTTGCTGGTGAACGTAGATATTCCCATTAATACCAAAAGACTAAAGGATTAAAGTATCCATGTAAGATTGAACTAGTATATAAGGAAAAACTGTTCTAAGAAATTCCTAACTTATTCTGAACATCGATAATTACCCTGAAACCATGGGTCTTGTTGATCAAATGTTTGGTTAATCCGCATTTTAAGCGTGGCTCGCAGTCCCGGTGTGTTGAGGGGGGTTCTTTAAGGAATGTGAACTTCTTCTAAGTCATATCCCCCTGCAACAACAAACGAGCCGAGAAAGGGTTGAACGAGGCACGAGCGGATTTCAGGTAAAGTAAGATGTCCAAACAGGTAGAAAATGAACTTATCTTCAAAATAGTCGGTTGTTTTTCCGTTCTCTTGGCGTATTTTGGGGGAACTTTTGTCAACTGTGAACTGTTCTCCTCACTTTTTGTATGTGAATAGCGGGGGTACCTTTGATATCTTTGATCTCCAGATGGATGTACCCGACACTCTCAAATCTCTCATTCTGGCATTGGAACAGCCCCCTTTGTCGTCCGATACTAATGCTTTTCCCGATAAAACCTACCCAGATGTTGGTGAAGCAATAATAAACCAGCCAGATTGAGCCAGATGGCTGTGGTAAAGTTGGGGATGGCATTGTGTTCAAATCGCCATCCTGGACTACCCCACTGCTCCAAGTTTGACTCAGAGATTTTCTCGCTCAGCCCGCGGCCAAGGTGTCTGCTTTTGCAACATGGCCGTCGTTTAAAAGGCTTAAACAATGGGGGCAGGAAGAAAAGCAACCTACAAAAAACACGTGTTTTCCACATGAAGAGTCATGTGGTAGACCCAACAACACACAATCCCCAATTTCACAAGAAATGGCTGGTACAAAACCCTCCAAAATTGAAGGTTTCTTGTTTGGGGAGCCATAGGCGTCGCCATCGAAACGTGTTTCGATTCAGCGGCCCCGAGAAAATGGGCTCCGCATTTTTTTGCCCGGGTTCATGTTCAGCCCCAAAGCTCAGCTAGGATTTATAAATAGTTTGCTGCTCCTATTCATTCTAAGTATTCCCCAAAGATATATATATATAAGAATAAGATGTTCCAAAACATGGATCCAGTTACTAGTTGTCGCAGCCCAAGACCGTCAAGTCAGCTCAAACAATCTGATCAAGTAGATAAGTCCAAACATACCTTTTGAAACCAGCAAGCAGTTCAAAGACCGTCATGGCTACTTCTATCTCCCTATGTTCTCCTGAAAAACAGGTGAAAGACCCAGTTTTGGAACTGTTCCAAGCGTGGTTGTATCTCTCGTACTACTAGTTGTTAATGGCCCATCAGTAAACTAATCATTTACCATCAACATTATATAGTATAACTAAGATAGATGGATATATATATATATATAATGTGTAAACCATATAAGTTTAGTCATCTATCTGCAAAATATCCCATCTGTCGTAGGTTGCTTTGGTTGCTTTGCCGCCAAAGAAATCCCCTGCCCTTCCTTTGGAAGGGCAGATTCGCCACGATGCGCCACGGGATGCCACGATGGCCATGGCATTGTCCCACAAAAACCGTTTCTTCATTGGGGATATGAAGCATTAACCATCATTAACTATCATTCACCATCATTAATCATCATTAACCATTAACCACTAACAGATATGAACCACCATAAGCTTGGGGATATGCAGGTGATGATGATCAACCATGGGAGGTTTTGGGGTCCACATAGCCTGGGAAAGCCCACGCAACTTACTGGAGGTTTATAGCTGGCCAAATCATCAATGGTCAATGGCCATTTCAGGAACCGATTTATTGGAGGTACCTACCATAGATTTTTGGCCTATATAAGGACTATTTTTTGGGGAATATCCCACAAAATATGGCCTGATATGGTACAGTACCTCCATTTTAGGATCCTGAAATTCCCATTGATCAATATATCTGAATATATTGTTATATTGGGGATTATCATGATCCATTGTACAGATCCCAGCAAAACCCATGGTTGTTTGGAGTTTCTATCAGTTATTGCTGGCAATGTGGTCCTGAAATGCGGGAAGCCTCATTTCATGGCCATGTTAAGATGAAAAATGAGGTGTTAAACCTTTATTTATAGCTGGTTTATGAACCAACGGTAATATGGTGAATTATGGGATAACATGGTAACATGATGATAATCTGGTTGGGGTACCCCACGTTCCAACAAACCGATGTGCCAAAATCAAGTTGTAACCCAAACTGGTTGGTGGTATACCTACCCCTCTGAAAAACATGAGTTCGTCAGTTTGGATGATGAAATTCCCAATATATGGAAAAGTAAAAAAGTTCCAAACCACCAACCAACAAAGGTAAACCATTTTACTCCCATTCTCTCAGCAACTAATGACTAAGGCAACTAAGATGATAATAATCCTCCACTTTGCCTAGTGATAATCCAGGGTACCTCCGTTCTCCTATGATGCTTGACTAATCCATTGGCATCCCCTGGTCACCTCACACCCACAGGTGGGGCTTACAGATGGCCTTGGAAAGCCAAGTTAAAATGGTGATGTTCCATAGCTACATGAAATTTCCCATACAGTACTTGACCTAATTAACCAGAACTTCTTCATCCGGGGTTGCCATTACAGATATCGAGGGTTTTTGAGCCTCCCTCCAAAAAAAAGAACTCGTACGTTCAACCTGGGCTATTCCCTTAGTTAACAAAACATCTATGTTTACAGGGAAATCGAAACCTAAGTGCCCCAAATCAACAAATTGGCTATAGGCTATAAGTTATAAGTGTCCAAAACTATCATATACAACTATTGTGAATGTAAATGTTTCAAACATGATCAAATCATGTTTTCATGGTTAAAACCATGACCTCCTTGCTTGCTTTCCGCCTAGATGAACAGCAAATCGTCGTCATCGTCGCCCTCTTCTTCTTCGAGTTCCAGACCTGTTGTGCAAGCTGTGGTGAAGCAAAAGCTGGCAAACCTTTTGGGGTGGGATGAATCAAAGCTATCTTCATTTAAAAAAATGCCTTGAGGACCAAACAAATGCTTCAGTCTTGACATGTTTTGACCATAGGTGCTGGTATTGTGAGTGATGAACTAAGATTGGCATATCAAGCTGATGTCAGCAGACTCAAGTCTCGAAGATGAGTCGGTGAAACTTGTAAAGGCTGAATCATGCAAAGCAAAAGGCACGCAATAAGCAGCGAAAATGGAAGAAAAAAATGCTACTGCGGTGAAATGTTCAACAACCATGCAACCACCCGCTAATGCCAATTGCGTTTGCAAGGGATACAATTCACCATCTGCAAAATACGTGGGCTCCCCTTTGCCATGCGGACTCCATTGCAGCTCGCCTGGCTGATTATTTTAGTGACTCGTGCCCATCTTGTTGCTTCTACTTGTGCGCCTGTGCTGATTTTCGCATCTACAATCATCTACATCTTTGTTCGTTTCATCTGCCTTTCTACTGCCTACGTCCATATTTTTACTCATAAAGATCCTAATTTTTTGCAGGTTGACATCTCAAATTGTTTGTTGGCTACTACAACTCCGATTGGGGTTACTGCGACATCCTTTTTTTCACTATCGCTGGATCGACTACCCACGATTTGCTGTGCAAAAAAACGGTTTTTCTGGTTGGTGGTTTTGAGCAAAACCCCGAAAAATGATGGACTGAACGTCAGTTGGGATGATGAAATTCACAATATGATGGGAAAAATAAACAAAAAAAATGGTCCAAACCACCAACCAGACACTGTTTTTGATGGCCCATATCCACATTCTTGACATCGATTCCCATGTGATCATCGTTAAGCCCAATCCAGGACGAAGCCCAATGGGCCAATTCATACTACCACCACATTTTTGGGGGCTAATAAAATCACCATAAAATACATTTTTTTTTAAATTCAAATCCCATAAAATCCCATTTTTTAAATTCAAATCCCATAAAATCACCATAAAATCCCATTTTTTTTAAAAAATTCAAATCCCATAAAATCGCCATGTCTAAGGCTGATTTAGCCATAGAATCCATGAAAAAACATGATGGGGGGCGAAAAACACGCATAGATTTGAGCAATGTTTATCTTCGTTCTCAAACTGAAAAGAGTGTCTGTTTTTCAGAAAGATTCCCCTCAATCCGAACCATCATAATCATTCATGGTGAGGTTAGGATTTTACAACTAATCCAAATGCTTGCTTTTTGGTTGTATCATCCCCAATTTTCGTTAGTTAAATCCACGTTTTTTGAATTAGCCTCCTTCAAGTCGATCATATTAATACCATAAAAATGCCCAATTTTTCTTGAAATCCCCATTTCAAAATGGCCCAGCCGCGCCCAGCGGAGCGCTTGGTTCCCAGCTAACACCAAAGCTCTGCACCATGGGGACCAGCATCACCGGGGTAGCATCGCCCTCCTAAGCCGTGGCTTCCGTGGGCTTTCCGGTTACTTCGAGGCATTGTCAATCTTACAAGGTGGTGCCCCCTAGATACCTAAGTTCGTTTATAACTCCAAAAACTATGGTTTATAGGTGATATATCTATAGTTAATGGGATTATAAACCAACTTATAACTGGGGGGCACCACCTTGTAGATACCCTGCAAAAAATGACAAATTCTTTGCTGGTGAACGTAGATATTCCCATTAATACCAAAAGACTAACGGATTAAAGTATCCATGTAAGATTGACCTAGGAGGGGGGTTATCTACCTCATTTATGAACTAATCCTGGTGATGAATTTGGAGGCATACTAGCTAATTTACTGGGGACTATGACCCATAGTAGGGATACCTATCAGACACCAACCAGATCCAACCAGCATTTTTTTAATGGGATGGGATAGGGATGTCACTTCGTGGCTCCGGCTCCGCATGGCTCATAGGGAATATACACCCCCCTAACTGCCCTCCTTAGCTCCCTCCTAGCCACTGAATAGTTTTCTTTATGTTGTTGTGTTCAAAGAAATTCCCGAAATCTGTTTGATTGAAAATATTGGGGATTGTTACCAAATGACCCGTCAAACCAATTTGAGCACGGGGACAAATATCAATTGCTTCTATATTACTGATTGGCTTCATAGGGATTATTCCTTTACAAGAGAGCAATCATTTCTTCTTGTTCGAGCGTAAGCATGAAGGGTTGTTGTACAGTTGAGCCATGAAGAATACCCCTATCCCATCCCACTATACTGGTCGTTTAAAAGCTATCCCTGCTATAAAATATTCCCCAAATAAACAAGGTAGTGTAAGCAGTGCAACCCTTGAAATAAACGAATCAACATGAACCACCAAGGCTATTCTGAATCTGAGTTGCCAATTATTTTCCTTGGTTTCTCTGGCCAGTGTTCTGCAGAAATCATGATGCTTGGAACAAGCCTGGACATCCAACAGCTGTCAGCTGTTGATACGTATGCATATCAGATTTATATCTATAAAATCGGTCATAACCAGTCAGCACATTGGATCTTGATTGCAGAGAGTATCCTTTCATTAAAATAACCAAAATCAATGTCCCAAATTAGTTAATTTAATTCCCATTCACCAAGGTCTTTGCTGGCAATATAATAATTCCTAAAGCTGGAACAGTATCATTATCACTTTGCTGGGTAAATTATAATATTTCACTAACCTGAATAGTTCGGCCAGCTATGGGGATGATTCCCCATATATAAACCATGATTTCCAGGGCTCGGGAGAACAGGGTTAGGTCGTGATGAAATTTACCCAGATGATCATCTATTACTATTATCATCTACTATCATCTATTATCCCATGATTAGCTATATATTCCCATTTATTACCCAGATTTTGGGAAGCGTCCAGCAAAATCCAAACCATCTCTACACCTTTGATTGGTTCATCCCACTGCTGATAAAAAAAAATCAGCATCTGTGTTGCTTAAATCTGGGCTTGTCTTGAAATATCTTGAAATATGATACCCCCAAATCCATCGCTAAGAAAATCATGTTCAATATGTTCAATAATAAAATTAAGCCATTTTGGGGCTTCATTAATCCCTCATTTTCACAGAAACCCATCATCCCATTATATCCCACTAAATCCCATTCAACCCCCATTGTCTGTTGGTTGAAATGATCATTTTTGGTGGCTTCAAACCCATGAAATCCATAACATCGTCCAGCACATAAAACCTACATATCGAAGCATAAAACCTAAAAAAACCTTCAAGCACATAGTAAACCCATAGTTTAACAAACATTATAGTAACAATGGGTTTGAATATAGATATGGTTACTATTGTAACACATAGTAAACCATATGATTTATATCAGCACATTCAAACCCACGTTATAATGTTTGTAATAATAAACCCAAACGTAACCCCCATGGCCACCATTGTTCTCCCGTCTCTGAGAAAGCCCACCGAAGGAGATGAGCCACGGCCGCTGCGAGGGCTGGAAAGCTCCTCCTTCGAGCCGGAAAACCAGTGGGAGGTCAACAGGAAAAATGATGGAAGGTGGGGATTTAATCTATGATTTCACATCAAAGAGGTTTAATATTTTAATATCACTTCAGAATCAATATCAAAACATGATGAAAAGTGGGATTTAAAAGGTGATTCTCGTGCCATGCTGAGTAGTAGGGCTCCAGTAGTGTCATTAAGGCTGGAGCCAAAGCTGCGAAAAGTGGAATGGGGTTACTCTTCACCATCGCTTTTGTCTACGGTGCTGGCCCCACTCATCGTAAATGGGTCAACAAAAACTGATAGCTTCATGCAATATCGGTTAGATTAATGGATTACAAACCACGGATCCGATTCGTGGCATGCACATCCAAGTAATCTTGAGGGTTTCAAATTGGGTTCCTCAAAGTCACCAAAATCAGCGGAAGTTGGACATCAAAGGACTAGACATTTGGATTAATGATTTATATGAAAAGAACTAATTAATTAAAATTATATGTGTTTTCCTCCCCCCCAAAAAATAACACATCTACAACTGGGGGGTATATACCCGAAAACATTGAAATTCCCCTTTGGGTTTGTCAATAGGGTAGCCGCAATTCCAATGGATTCTCATGATTTTCAATCGCACAAATTTCCCCATGAAAAATAGCCATTTGGGTGTGTCTGAAAATGTAGTGTACCCCTAAACCCAATGGTTAATGATCATTATTCCCCATTAAATGGCTATAATTGGGAATATACCCTCTGGTAAACTAACATAACTATGGAAAACCACCATTTTTAATGGGAAAATCCACTATAAATGGCCATTTTCAATAGCTATTTTGACATAACCAGAGGGTACCCTATTTTCAAACAAAGCCATTTTGGGTCTCCACCATTTTCAGAACCCATTTGGTAAAACCCCCAGGAAAACCAGACAGTATCTCTCGACCGTGGCATGTCCTGCAACGAAGATCGGGAAATCACAGGAGTGACCACCTACAATGGGCACACAGGCGTCGGAGAAAAAAAAATTGCTTCAACTGGGGAGATGCCACCGCAAAAAATGGGGAGAGTTATGAGAAAATCAAACCCAGCGATTCAACCAGCATGAAAAGGCGACATCTCAGAGAGAAGCAGATTTCAGGATCGAACACGTGGATTACCCTCTGGTAAACTAACATAGTGGATTGAAAATGACCATTTATAGTGGATTTTCCCATTGAAAAATGGTGATTTTCTATAATTAGTTATGTTAGTTTACCAGAGGGTAAACCATCAAAACATGCTGATCTGACCGAAGATGGAGACACAAAACAAGGGGAATCTGAAAATCAGGATACGAAGGGCTGCCAACATCGTGCATTGACCGTAAAAAAATGGGATGTCAACAGCATTGCCAATCTTAGATACCCTGAAAAAAAATAAATTATTTGCTGGTTAGTAGATATTCCCATTAATACCAAAAGACTAAAGGATTAAAGTATCCATGTAAGATTGACCTAGAACAGAACAGACAGTAAAGACTGATGTAAACACATCTTGAGACCAACCCAATCTGAAGACATAAAATAAGATAAAGTTGCGTCCAAAATATGTGGCCACCAATGTCACCAACAGAAAAATGAATTTAGTCCCAAAAATGCACTTACAACCATCATCAACCATCAAACCTTGTGGTTTTGACAGTCAGTAACACCGTTTTAAAGTGGATAATCCAGGACCATCAAATGTGAGTTGTCCCTGTCGGCAAAATGGCTAGTAGTATTTGATCATCGTTCACATAGATTCGTGAAAACCATTGGGACATATCGTTCATCGACATAGCGAATAGATAACGAATAGACGTCATTCAAGTTACCCTCTGGTTATGTCAAAATAGCTATAGAAAATGGCCATAGAAATAGTGGATTTACCCATTGAAAATGGTGATTTTCCATAGTTCTGTTAGTTTACCAGAGGGTAACAGTGGAATGCAACCAACAAGACCGGTTGGACATTGACCAGCAAAAACATGCTAAAAATGTGTGCAGTGCACATCGTATTAATACAGCTGTCCATTCTTGGGTTGTTAATCCCTTAGGGCCTGTGCAATGTGTTGTTTCATAAAATATAATGTAATTTGCACATCGAATGGATATTCTCTAGATTCTTGCGGAATGTACAACGTAGACACAGGGCGTGTCTGTGCAACAAATGATAACATCGGGAACCACAATGCGGTAATTGGGAAACCACCCACCAAGAAGTATCAATGCAAATGATGATGATGATGATGATGATGACATGACCAATAATCCACCATCTACTTTGGTGATTCGGAAAAATGGCGACATTTTGAGGTCAATGGTGGATTTGAAAATCTATCGGTAGAGGACTCTCTCCTGTTGGATTCATGTCCCTCAATAGCAGGGTTGTAATGGCACGGTTTACAAATTTACTACATTTTACTACTTACTCTCTCATAATCATTCATAATCCACAAAAAAGAAAACAAAAGAAGTATTTCAATGATGAGAGGACCTGTACATCTTACTGAAAAAAAGGAGGCTTTGATGTTACTGCTTAAACCAACCATTAAGAAAAAAAACATGGTCAAATCACGGGAATTTTGCACCAGATCGAGCGCCCCCCAAGACCTGGCTCTCGTGGCTCTCGTCACGACTGGCCTGCATGGCTTGGATGGCAGCCAATTTGTTCAGCTAGTCACTGAGGTTATGAAGCCGTGGAAGTTTGGGAGTCAATGAGATCTTCTCAATGATAACAATGGATTGGTTTAAGGGAAAATCTTAACCGGAAACCCATGGGTTTTTACCATCAAATTGGTTGGGCTTTCCTGTAAATTTTCCCATCATCCAATTCTATGAATGATAACAATTAGGGATGGAATTGAATACAATTGAATACAAACTGATAAACCTCCACCGAGCTGAAAAAACTGGGAGTCAAACTGATAAACCTCTCAACTCCTAACCAAACCAGTTTTGGCCAAATCAATTCTAAATAGTGATTGGTTATTGTCGCTCCCCACTATGGATTGCAATGATCTTGATGAAACCAAGCATGGCTCGCAAGTAAAACAAAAATTGCACAAAACTTCACTCGGGGGAAGCAGACCTCAGCTAAAAATTGAGAACGCGTCCGTAACGCCGTAACTGGAAACCCGTTTTTGACATCTCTGACATGCATGGTCACCCTGACTCGAACGAGTCTATCGAAACCTCTTTGAGTGTTCTTGCTAATCCTGGGAAATATAGACACCATGTTTAATGGGAAAATCCATTATAAATGGAAAATCACCATTTTTTAACATAGCTATGGAAAAATCACCATTTAGAAGGGGATCACAAAAAGAACCATAACTTGATGTCAGACAGGCTACAACACCTTTAGTGCTTGGGCTACGGCTGGAGGTGTTGACGCCAAAGAGTTACCCTCATGGGCTATTGTCAACAGTTTGCGAACTGAAAATGGCCATAGAAATATCCATTTATAGTGGATTTTCCCATTAAAAATTGTGATGTTCCATAGTTTTTTGGGATTTTCCTATTAAACATGGTGATGTTCCACTGTTTTTTGTTTAGCAGAGGCTAGTCAACCCATGATTGTCCCATTTTCAGGCACGTAGCATTCAAGAATTGAGTGAAGCCATGAGTACATAATGTACATGTGGAGGTTTCCAATCCAGCGGGGTATCCCTATCCAAGTTATGAAACCATTTTAGTATTGAAACCCATGGTGACTTGGGGATCCCCCGTTTAAGAAATCCCCACATAATGCCATCACCAGATTCAGAAACCCTGGGCCAAAAGTCGTCTCATGTCTCCTCATAATTGGTTTCATGAGTGCTCTACCTGCCTTGAAAGTCATGTGCCAGCGTTTACCCTCTGGTAATCTAACATAGCTATGGGAAAATCACCATTTTAATAGGTGAATCAACTGTAAATGGCTAACTTTCCAGTTCGCAAGCTGTTAGTTTGGAGGGTAAATTCCAGCTTGGAAACGATCAAATCACCAAAACACCAGTTCTTGGAATACAGTCTCTCGATCCGAAAGATAGTTTGTTTTCCACCAGAAACCATCGTTATATCAGATGTTTGCACCTTACCCTCTGGTAATGACTAACGTAGCTATTGAAAATGGTCCATTTATAGATGGTTTACCATGTTTACCTATTAAAAATGGTGATTTTCCATAGCTATGTTAGTTTACCAGAGGGTTAACAGGATTTTGTGACCCATCAAATCCAGTCATTTCTGCAGTTTGAATATGTTTGAATGCAAAAAAAAACACCTATCAAACGGAGGTGCTTCCGACACCCCAAATACAACGGGAGGCAAAATAAGAAAAAATCAATGGCCATTTCAGGAACCGATTTATTGCAGGTACCTACCATATATAAGGCCTATATAAGGCTTATGTTTTTAGGGAATATCCCAACAAAATATGGCCAAAAAAATGGTACTAACGTACCTCCATTTTAGGATCCTGAAAATTCCATTGATAAAATGTCTAATTTCTGTGGCTATGATTTACATCTGGGTTGGAGGAACCCTTTTATGCGGCAAATATCCCCATGATCTCGCCATATTTCTTCAGCAAATCCAAATTCTTGTTGGGTAAAAATTCATGATATTGGTTGCATATCCCGCTATATCCCATTATCGGTTATATATATATGTATATAATTGTATATATATATATCCATTAATTCCCTTTTATTTTATCATCGGTGCTCAATATGAATGCTTGGAAGTGCAGATCCAGTTCCAACTGGATATACAACCATATATATATATAGCCAGTATTTTATTGAAATTGCCACCATTTTTCAATGGCCATTTCAGGAATCTAAATTGGAGGTACCTATCATATATAGCCTCTGGTTATTTAACATAGCCATGGAAGCCATGGCCCATAGAAAGTTCGATGGTTTACCGAAGTTCATAGCATGGTGGATCTTTCCATGGCAAACTGTTAGTCGCAATCAGATGGTAAGTTCTGTACAAGGGCTGTGTAAAGGAATATCCCCATAAGACATGGCTCCTGAGATTACCCTCTGGTAAACGTTTACATAACTATGGAAAATCACCATTTTTAATGCGTAAATCCACTATAAATCACAATTTTCAATAGCTATGTTAGTTCACCAGAGGGTAATTTATATGGTACCAGTACAGAATTTCTCCAGGTTTTTGTTGGTCCTGAAATTCCCTCTGTTTTTTTGGTGAGTTTTCTAGCCAGAAAAAGGCCAGCACCCGGCCTGGTAAACGTTTACAGTTTGTGAACTGGAAAATGGCCATAGAAATAGTTGATATACCCATTAAAAATGGTGATTTTCCATCGTTTTTTGTATGTTTACCAGGCCAGGTATAATCAGTATATCCCATCAGCGCTCCAAGCCTGCACAACACCTTCCACACGAACGGCTTGGCGCTGTTCACGCGCGTGGCGGGACTTGCCTTGTGGCTATGGAGGGTTTTAGCATCGAACATCGTGGAGTCATCACCATTTTTAAGTTCGGTAAACCATCGAACTTTCTATGGGCCATGGCTTCCATGGCGATGTTAAATCACCAGAGGGTAGTTGATTCCAAAGTCGAACATGTGGGGTTCACAAGTTCACGCATCAAGATGGGGGAGTCAATGCCCGCCATTTATAGTCATCCATTTGGATATCCGATAGGTAGGGCTTCACCAATCAAATTCTTAAGATATTCGGCAACAAAAAAGGATGCTTTGTTGCATGGACTAATCAACCAACATCAATGGCATCCCAAAAATCATGGTGCTGTTGACACTGCGGGACTTTGTCCAAAGAAACATGGGCTCATAGAAGAAGAAATTCTGTATCTTGTTGGTAAAGCAATGTCATCTTTTAGTTGTCATTTTACCCATAACAATCAATGGCCATTCCAGGAACCCAAATTGGAGCTACCTACCATATATAAGGCCTATGTTTTAGGGCTAAATTTCAGGGGATATAGCCCCAATTTCTATGGCCAAACATATGGTACTAACATACCTCCATTTTTAGGATCCTGAAATTCCCAGTAAGATATATAAATATAAAACATTATTTTCAAATGGATTGATGACCATCCCTGAAAAGATGGCTAGCGGCTATCCATTTATCATTTTGAGGATCCAGGAATCCACATTAAAACAAAGGGTAAATCATTGGCTGGTTGGTGGTTGAGCCACCCCTCTGAAAAATATGAAAGTCAGTTGGGATTATTATTCCCAATATATGGAAAAAATAAAAAATGTTCCAAACCACCAACCAGTTGGGGATGCTAGATCCTATTGTCCCAAATCTACACAAATCCTGCATCAAACATATGAAAACCCAAAACAGTTATGGCATCTCATGGCGAACTGTTGGGGCTACCACACAAAAAGACAGATATACAGAATTATGTATACAGATATGTTGTGTTAATATTAAATATGGATTATAGATACAGTACTTCACAAATTCAGATATTTTAAGTACTGTATTTTAGAGTGTTTTTGCAAAGTTATATCTATTGGCAAGTATTCATTGAGTTAGGCCGAGCGAGCGGTGACCATATCTGATATATGTTTGGACAGCATTCATTTGTAGCTGCAAATAAGCGTTTAAAAAAAAAAAAAAAACATTTAAATCAGCCACAAAAAAACATGAAATCCCCATGAAATTTACCCATGAATCATTTTTAAATCACCATGAAAATTCTTAGTAAATCCATAAACTTATCATAAACCCTCATGAAAAATAGCCAGTTCCAGTCATCTGAGGACTCGCACTTGCACGCTTCTTGTGGCGTGCTGCTTCGTCCCTTTCCCTTTCTTCCCTTTCTTCCCTTTCCGCCTCTGATCCAAGGAGCTCACCAAACAATTGAAGAAGTTGATGGTTGAAACCTTTATAAGCAATGGTGGTACCCTCTGGTAAACTAACAAAAAGCTATTGAAAATGGCCATTTATAGTGGAATTTCCCATTAAAAATGGTGATTTTCCATAGCTACGTTAAATTACCAGAGGGTATATTAGCATTGATGTTATTTAAGCATAAGGTTCTTTATTGGCAATAAGAAGGTTGATGGTTGAAACCGTTATTTATACGCTGGTTGGTGGTACCATCTTGAAAAATATGACTTCGTCAGTTGGGATGACTATTATATATCATCATATATCATGTATCTCATTATGAACCAACAACGATGAGGATATTTTGGGTGATGAACCAATGGTTATATGGTGAATTATGGGATAGCATGGTAATATGATGACAATGTGGTTGGTGGTATACCTAGCCCTCTGAAAAATGATGGAGTTCGTCAGCTGGGAGGATGACATTCCCAACTAAATGGAAAAATAATCCATTCATGTTCCAGTCACCACCAACCAGATCACCATTTCTTGTTGGTTAAATCCCATTAAATCCCATAAAACAACCATTTTGGTGGATTGAATCCCAGAAAAACCACCAATCAGATAGGGTTTATCCCTTTATCTGTAGGGTTTCAACCATCCAAGGTGGTGGCACGATTTCGCACCCACAGGTGGTGTCCCCATTTAAGGCCCCATTTATAGAATGTGGGGCCCCCCAGTGATGTGAACCTTGGCTTAGATTCACCCCATGAAAACTCTAGTTATTTGCGTATAATAAACCATAGTTATTGGAGTTATTGGCACCAACTTAGCTATCGTTTGGGGGCCCCACATTGTTGGTTTTTATTAAAACTTATGGAACTTATTAAAGATTAGTTCATGTATGTTAATGTTAAGCTTATTGGTTAACTTTCATGAACTTTTTTGAACATTGGTTTGAAAATTAAAGAATCATTCAATGTCCATAATTACTATAATTCCAATGAACATTGTTGGTTCAAAATTAATCAAATTACCCTCTGGTGAACTAACATTTGGCTATGGAAAATCACCATGCTATTAATGGGAAAATCCACTATTTCTATGGCCATTTTCAATAGCTTTTTGTTAACATTCACCAGAGGGTATGGTGTCCAAAGTCATGGTACTTAATTGGTACTATAATACCAAAATAATAGCTTACATTGGTACTATAATACCAATGGCTTGTTGGTTCAAATAATAGCTTACATAAAGGTTCAATAAGCCATCGGTCAACTATTTCTGGATCTTGATCCAAGAAGTTGGGTCGGTTTCTTATAGAGGTTGGGGAGCTATGAAAAACTCGCTTTTACCGTAAACGTTTACAAAAAATGCTATGGAAAATAATAGGGATATACTGTTCTGATTGGGATATAATGGGATGTTTTATGGGATATACTGTTATCATATCTGGTTAGATCTAACAGTTTGCGAACTGGAATTATTGGAGAATGATGATTTAACCAAGAAAAAGGGTGATGTATCCGAGGAAATATTGAATTACCCTCTGGTAAACGTTTACATAACTATGGAAAATCACCATTTTTCAATAAATAAATCAACTATTTTCCATTTTCAATAGCAAACTGCAGCAAATTACCAGAGGCTAACATAAACAGACCTTGCCATGAGTTCTGCCATGAGTTATCCCCCCGAGCAGAGATACCTAGTAACCAAGCAGTGTGTTTTACAGGGCATGGCTCGTGGGCTACGTTTCACTGAGGATCGAAAATACCGTTGTTGTTTTTCCAAAACTCGACCAGTGAACCCGTTATTTTCAGGGACGAATGCTGTCTGGGGCAACTATGTTCTAGGTTTTTTTTTTCAAGTTGAACTTGTTATATGTAGGGGTTGATGCAATCTGAACCAGCTATTTTCAGGTCGTGATGCATTCCGAAACAACTATGTTTTAAAGGTTTATATATTGCAACTCATTTTAGGGTTGGTACAATCTGAATTAGTCACTTCTACGGGTTACTTTGATCTGGACCAAATATGTTTGGGGGCCCTATTTGCAATGGGTAGTATATAAGCAGGTCATTTCATCCACAATCTAAAATGAAACAGCTACCATTGAATGCCATTGACTAACCGTCTCCAAAAACACTTGTAGAACTATTCCCTAGTATGTCGATGGTCTACAGCATAGTACGTGCTACATTATAGTATGCATCCATCTTTGATAATTACTATTATCTGGGTAAATTATAATATTTCACTAACCTGAAGAGTTCGGCCAGCTATGGGGATGATTTCCCTTATGAACATGATTCCAGGGCTCGGGAGAACAGTGAGGTCGTGATGAAATTTACCCAGTATTATGGTTACAAGCCACTTGCAGGTCCAAGATGGGGAACCCCAATTTGGGATCACAACCGAACTTTTTTGAATGTCCAAAACAAGAACTGTGGTGATATAATCCTCCTCGATAAGACATGTTATATATATATGTAATATTAGTCAGTTGGGATGATGAAACTCTCAATATATGAAAAAAATGTGTTCCAAACAACAAACCAGATATGCATATTCATTCAAAACACCATAAGAAACTTTGTTTGATAAATGATAAAATGTGCATAAACCCATCCAACTTTAGATATATCCACAATAAATGCATGCTTTGGCCCATATAGTCATCACGAACTTAATTACCCATCTAGGCTGCCACTTCTTGCACCCAACCAAGATTTTGGCGTAATTATCTGAATAGAGCAACCCCCACCCCGATCCTATGAAAGTTTCATTGAAATTGACATGAACGATCCTAGGCCCGGAAATATGTTTCATACCCAAAGATCATATCAAGTCTTGTAGGTGATATCATCTGGTTATTTAACAGTTTGCCATGGAAAATCACCATTCTATCAGGGTTCGGTAAACCATCTATTTCTATGGGCCATCTATTTTCCATGGCAAACTGTTGGTCATAACCAGAGGGTATATCCATATTAATCCCATTATCAACCACTATTCACCCATTATCAGCCACTATTAATGGAAACTAACTATTAGTATAACAATCATTAATTAATCATTCTATCAACCATCATTAACCATCATTAACCATCATTAACCATCGTGGATTTCACCATGGATTTTTCAGAAAGCCCTGGTGATCCCCAAAGATTATGTCAATTCGTCGCCATGACGCCCTGGCTGACTTAGGGTACCTGGGCATCAAACATCAAACGTGTTTTTTTCTTAATGGGATAACAAAGTCAATTTTATGTTTATATACATCATGTTATATCATGTTATAAATGGGGATTAAATTTGTTTGGGATAAACATCGAAAATGATATAACATGATATCCCTTGACCAAAGTCTTGACCCCCAAGGTGCAGCCCATGACAGGCTACGCCAATCTTAGATACCTGGCAAAAAAATGAGTTCTTAGATACGGTTAGATAATGTTAGATATTCCCATTGATACCAAAAGACTAGTTAGGATTAGTTTGTATCATCAAGTATCCATCTAAGATTGCCCTAGATGATACTGGGTTCAGATCATTAAAAGGCGCGCGCCTCCTGGCTCTGGAGAGTCTCAATCTCACAGAGGATCTGCTCCTGACACGAGCACCAATGGTTTCCACCAATGTGGCTATCCCTTTATCGCTGGATGGTTTATAAGGGAAAATCCTACGAAAATGGATGATTTAGGGGTACCCCCATTTTAGGAAACCTCTTTTTGTTGTGTTTTAACGGCTAATAACGTGGTTGATACTGTTTGAGAATGATTAAGAATGGTTGACAATCGTTGATAAATGGTCAATAATGGCTAATAGTTAATCATGGTTAATAATGGTTATGATATAGTTAAAAAAATGTTTTTATGGTGGTGTTGAATGGTTCTATCACAAATACGGAGATGCATCCAAGTAGCCACTCAAAACCTATGGTGGATTTGACCAAGTAGAGGTTGTTTAGAGAAGGAACTCCGAAGGACTTTGAAAATTTCGACAATTTCGACACCTGAAATGACGCATGTTTGGATTCTTCCACTCATCTGGGTAAATTGTAATAATATACTGGTTGGTGGTTTCAACCCATCTGAAAAAAATTAGTCATCTGGGATTGTTATTCCCAACTGAATGGAAAAATAAAAAATGTTCCAAACCACCAACCAGTATATAACTTAACATCTGCTGTTGTCAAAACCTGGTAGTATTGGTTATATATGGTCATCTCACTATCAATAACAATTCCCTACAATTAGTATATAAATCCGTATTAATGGGCTGATGACCATCCTCCAATATGGGTATTTGATCCAAGCCTGTTTCTTATCATGGCAAATATAGTTAATTACATATGATTTTCATCCAAACAAAATGGTTGAACATCAACAAAAACCACCAACCTGAGAAGTACTCAAGGAGTTATTACCCTCTGGTAATTTAACACAACTATGGAAAATCACAATTTTTTATGGGAAAACTCAATATACAGTAAATGGTCATTTTTCAACAGCAAACTGTTTGTTTACCAGAGGGTATTTGGCGGGTTAGAAGTTTACTGCTTGTACCCAACGGTTCAAACGTGTTGTTGTGTTGTTTCTGTAGTTCGTCGTTGACCATGGCCGGATCCCAGAAAACACGGGGATACGGCTGCCATGTGACCAGATGAAGTCATACAAACTCAATGAAACGTGCATATGTACAAATACGAATAGATACAAACAACAACAAACTTACAAATCACATTATTGACAAAACACATATATTGTATATATATATACTTAAGTTAATTAAAGCAGAAATTCCGATATTGCACACCAAGCAGCATTTTTGCATCAGGTCAAACGGGCAAATGTTGCAAAAAATTATCAACATTCTATGTTCACCTGCCACTTACAGCCAGTTGAACCATCAAATACTTCTATCTTTAAAAATTCGTTTAATATATCCCCTTTTTCATCATTTTCTACAGTATTTTGGTGGAAGGCAAGGGTACGAAAACTTGTCGAAAAAAACAGGTGTTTTTGGACCAAGCTCTGCTCCTCCTGGTCTTCAAACGCTTGACGTTTGGACTCCGACTCTGCCTCGGTCGTTGTCGTCGGCGTGGGTTGGTCGGTGGAAAAGGGAAGCAGTGGGTCATAATAACCAGGGATATAATTTTGATATAATTAAGATGACTTAAGCTACTTAGTAAGTGGGATGAGCCACCAAGTAATTCGAAAATCGGGGGACTTCATGATGATTCTCCCAGCTGTAAACCTCCATTTGTAGTGGATTTTCCCATTAAAACCTCCAATGATTGATGGGATTTCATGAGGATGTGCATGGAAAATAATTGTATAATCAACAAACACTGGACACATTTATGGGCTTACCTGAAATGTAATTCCAGGAAATACGGATTGCTTATTGCGCATTTCAAGCTCATGGATTGTGATCATCCCGAATATTATAAGTAATAGAAGAGTAGTATACCCCCTATCCTATCACCATCGACCAACTGTTTTCTGTCTGCTCAACCTGACTTCCAATCCAGGACAAAATACACTATCACCTACATTAAATCATAAGAAAAATATACACATCATTCAACATCATTCAACAACGTCATTCCTTCAGCGATCTCAAAATAATGCACAAACCAAACCCATCTGGTTTGCTACCTCAACTTGTTTTGCGCAAGGACCCCTCAGCTATAAGTTGGTTTATAAACCCATCAACTATATAGTTATATCGCCAAGTTAACCCTTGGTTAACTTCTAAGTCAACTTAGCTATCACACATCAGCGATAAATCCCATCAAATCTCCATGTTTTTTGGCTCAATCACCATTTTCCCATGGAACATTCGGAAAGGCAAAATCCCCTTGGCCCTTCACCAAGCGCCCCTCCAAGCAACTCGGAAATGCTCCCAATCTTCATGCAGCTCCTTGAGTCTTTGGCCTTGGAAAGTGGAGATGTTTCACTGTTTCAGTGGAGGTACCTACAGGATGGTGCCCCAGTTCGTTAGTTAAGTTGCTTTATAACTTTAGAATAACAATAGTCTGGTTGGTGGTTTTAACCATCTTGAAAAATATGAAAGTCAATGGGAAGGATTATACCATATATTATGGAAAATAAAAAATGTTTGAAACCACCAACCAGTAGTTTATAACTTTACTGGTTGGTGGTATACCTACCCCTCTGAAAAATACGACTTCGTCAGTTGGGATGATGACATTCCTAATATATGGAAAAATAATCCAAATGTTCCAAACCACCAACCAGTTTATAATAACAATAGTGTATGATATATGATACTTATAGTCATCTGGAGGTACCCTTTGGTAAACTAACAGTTTGCCATGGAAAATGGCCATTTAGTTCGTTGACTTACCTATTGAAAATAGTGATTTTCCACAGTCATGTTAGTTTACCAGAGGGTACCTATAGGCCTATGTAAGGAATATCCCTACACAATATGGCCAAAAAAATGGTACAGTACCTCCATGTTAGGATCCTGAAAATCCCACTGAACTAGGAAAATGATGATCATCATAGTTTGTCAAGGGTATATTCAGGAAGCTGAACAATCAAACTTGGGATTTGATGAACAAAAAATGGGATCCAAACCTTCCCTGCCAACCCGCATGGTAGATCCCATTCGACCCAGCTGCAATGTCCAACTATTGTCTGAGCCCAACTACCTCTACCCCCACATGTTCCACAAATCAACTCTTCTAACCCGTCTTTGAGCTATCTTTCCACCCAGCTACATGTCTAGCCTGTTCTTGGTTAAGATTGGTTAAGACTAGGGTTAGGAGATCATGGGGCGCTATTAACACCCCACTGGCAGCCACAAACTCAGCAGAAGTACCCACCAAAAACCGTCAATAGGTTGGGGGCGAACCATGAAACCACAAGAACAGGGTGCAAGGAGCCAAATACAGCAAAATAACAACATGATTCAACCAACATAAACATGACACTTTCCTACCACAACGCTGCGCATTTCGCATTCTTCAGGACACGCATGGGTTGCTCTTTTTCTTCATCTTCACGGCGATGCAGCTCAATCTGTGGCGGTGTAACCATCCAGAAATGGATGGTAAACAAACCGTAGAAATGGTGAAATAAATAGTGATTTCACCAGAAATATACCATGATTCCATCATTTACCATGGTTAAATGGAATAATGAATGGTGATCCATTATTGGTATGGCAGTTTTGAATTTCACCATAACAACATGATAATATAGGGGAATAAATGATGGAATAAAAAACATGATTTCACCAGAAATGTGATTACTGGCAATCGCTATTTTTCAACATCAATAGTGGTTTAATCAGACTGGGGAGATAGCCAATAGTGATTTAATCACTGGTTTAATAGTGGTTTAATAGTGGTTTAATCAGACTGGTTTAATTTTCATAGTGTATGGCAATTTGGGGAAAATGATAAACCACACACGATGCATGTTGTCCAACTGTTTGAGACGACTGGTTGACTGGTTCCCCCCATCAAGTTTCAACCCCAATGCACGCGGGACAAGGGGCCTCTGGATCAAGATCATCAAGATCATGTTGCAAATATCTTGGCAAATGAATAATGATCCTAGCCCCCTATATTCTTCTAAACCTAACCCCCCCACACAATGTGAGGCCCCCAAGATAGCGTTCAGTTGGTTTATAACTCCAAGAACTATGGTTTATGGTGCGCAAATAACGAACTAGTTACTGGGGCTTTTGTTAACCAACAAACATAACTGGGGGGCCTCACATTGCAGGAGGCACCAAAATGATTTGCCTGGAACTTCTGGGTCTCTTCTCAGCCACAAAAACGCTAGCCACCAGCGGCCAGCCATGTCATGAAAAACTCTAAACCAGGTGTGTATATGTATATTGTAAATATTATTCTTGTGATATTGTATATACTTATATATGTATATATATATAATGAATTCACAAGTACAATCAAATAAATATGTATATGTATATGTATATGTATATGTATATGTATATGTATATGTATATGTATATGTATATGTATATGTATACATACATATTTGTGTGTGTCTCTCAACGCCAAGATCAATAAATCAATGTCTATTACACAGGACGGGCCCCCCCAGTTATAAGTTGGTTTATAAACCTTTATAACCCCCATTAACTAGTTCAATATATCTACCACAAACCATAGAATTCAGCCACAAAAATTAAAACCAACTGAACGCTATCGCTCGACTGGGGGCTCCATCCTGTAGCAATAAATCAATCTCTACTACGTATGTATATATATATATATATCTGGGCAAATTATAATAATTCACAAACCTGAAATAAGGCCATTTGGGATGATTTCCCTTACTAACCATGATTCCAGTGAGGGAGAACAGTGAGGTCGTTATAATTTGCCCAGATATATATATATATATATAGGTATAATATACGTGATTCTCTCAAATTTCGGTCGCCTCTTTGTGCAGCTCTACCATCTCGGCTTGTTTCATGGCCTTGGGGCGGCCAGGAACTGCAGGAACTGAGTAACTGGGGCAATGTAGCTGTAGAATTACCCTCTGGTAATTTAACATAGCTATTGAAAATGGCCATTTATAGTGAGTTTTCCCATTAAAAATGGTGATTTTCTATAGCTATGTTAGTTTACCAGAGGGTAGCTGTATATGATATCCCTAGTAAATTAATTGGTTACCCATTTTCATTGCCGGACATATCTCCGTTTTTGTTAGTTAAATCAGAAAAAGAGAATCCACGTGGTGTCAGTGAACATCACATTGACATTGATCAGGATTGATCTGTTGCTATCTCGGTCAATATGAACGCGACCATTTATTCAATGGGAATTCCAGGATCCTAAAATGGAGGTACTGTACCATATTTTTGGCCATATTTTGTAGTTTTATTATGTTATATTCCCTTACAAAGGCCAAAAATATATGGTAGGTAGCTCCAATAAATCGGTTCCTGAGTCATGGCCATTGAATATTATACGATATAACCGAGAATGTGGGGGCTGGGCATTTTTTGGGGATATCCATCGATGATCCATAAAAAAAAGGGATATCATGGAAATATACCATCTGGTTATTTAACATAGCCATGGTATAGATGGCCCATAGAAATAGATGGTTTACCTATCAAAAATTGTGATTTTCCATGGCTATGTTAAATAACCAAAGGGTATTTGGATATTTCTTACATCAGGGATCAATTTAGCCATTAAAAATACCCCTATCCGATCTCATTATACTAGGTTGATAGGTTTCCCTGCTATGGCTTGTCATAGTCCTCAGTAAACCAGGTAGTTTTTAATCCCCTATTGCAATCAATTACCCTCTGGTAAATTAACATAGACCCTGGCATTTTTGGGGGTGGGAAGATTAGTGTCCATTAAAACTAGGCTATTTTCAGGGTCGAACTGCTAGTTTACCAGGTAACCAGGGTATTTTGTTCATGGCTCAATTGGGATGTTTTTTCTGCTTGACCAAACTACAGGGACACAAAAAATGGGAGGATACCCCAGTTTATGGCAATGTTCATGGGATGTTAACCGGCATCATGTGGACTTTAATATCTTTTAAGTATATAATATCCAGCAACATGATGGATATATAATATCAATGGCCATTTCCGGAACCTAAATTGGAGGTACAGTACCTACCATGTATAAGGCCTAAATTTCAGGGAATATCCCCACAAAATATGGCCAAAAATATGGTACTAACGTACCTCCGCTTTAGGATCCTGAAATTTCCAATGATATATTGTTGATTACATCTGAATTATCCCTATTATGTATTGGATAGTGGTTGGTATCATATTCATTGGTGATATACCCATATTATTGCCCTAAATACCATCATCTAATCTCATTTATGTACAGGATTGCTCTGGCTATGACCACTAGCATCTTTTTAGACCAATCGCTCCGGATTTTTCTGATGTTCAATCGCAACGGATTTTGTGTTCCATTCAGGGATTTTTGTATCAAATATGGATGTGTCCATTGCCAAAAAATTGATTGAAAATTGGTTACCTCAAAAATATCATCCATATGCTCCGTGTATGGTATATTTACCTACAAAACTGGATGATTTTTAGGGCAAATTTTAGGATTTATAGGTAATGGTTGATTATCCTTGTCCCTATAGAAACTGCCAATTTATGGCTGGTGAATCCGCCATTCTCGGACAAATCCACATCATGTATTGTTGGTTATATCCCCCTATATATATACGTTACGTGTATATGTATATATATATAATCTGTATACATATTTATAACATATGTATATATATAACGTATATAATTACACGTATATATATACTGTATATATATATATATCCATTTATTATACATCCATTGATTGTTGGTTGAAACATAATATGCGTTGATATGCAACAGGATCGCCTGGATTCGAAAAATGTCTCCGAGGCACCACGAGGTGCCTTCGAACACTGTCCTTTCCTTCGGTCTTTTCCAGGCTTTCCAATTGACGCCTTGCACAGCTGTAGAGTAACCCCAAAATGGAAACCTAAATTGGCAAAAGAGGATGTCATCGGAAATCCATCCAAATCCCGGATTTGTAGATGATTTACCTGCTGAATAGGGAGATTGATCATGAATTACCTGTGTTTTTCTTCGATTTCGGAGACGGAAGATCGTCCCGAACTGAGGAAGCTGGCGGTTCCACCAATCTTGGGACATTCATCCACCAACAATTACCAGCTGGTTATGACTAACACTTTCCCATGGAAAAATCCACCCATTTTTAAGAGGTAAACCATCTATTTCGATTAGGGCCATCTATACCATGGCAAACTGTTAGTCATAACCAGAGGGTACAATATCAAGCTCAAGTACATGACATGTTCTAGACCAATTCAGTCTAGAACCATAGGAGACTGACTCAACTAGTGCAATTTGGCAAACACAATGGTAAATTAAAACAATCCTGGTGTTACCATCATTTAGAGCTTATTGTTTATCCTCCCAAACACACTGGGAACCCAATCATGAACCACTGGGAACTGGGAACCGTTTATCATTGTTTTTACCTCATTCATGTGCCAGTTATCCCCATCCTTGTAGACAACACCCTCATCTTCTTGGTGAGGCCAGCTGGTTCACGATGGGTGCTGTGATCATATGGTTATATTCCGACCTTTGCTGTTTTAAACCCCTTGGTTCCTGTGTACACCCAGTACTGAACCAATTTACGTTTCATTTCAGGGGTCCCACTAACTAAGTGAGATGTGGGTCTGTCCAAAACGGGTGTATATACCGACATCCCACGAATTTAAACCTCATGTTGACCATGCAAATAACCATTGAATAAGGGGTACATTCGTATCATTGCACTTGTGAACCCTCACTGGGAAAACACAAGTATGGAACCAACATGTTTTTCGTAATTGTCGGTGGCCATAAATTTCCTTTGCTGAAGCTGTTTGAGTAATGGTAATTCTGTGAACAAATCATGAGCTATTACATCTAGCTTCATGGAAAAATAAACAAAGATAGCGGGAAAATATGGTAAATTAGACAACTACAGGATGGGGCCCATAGTTATCTATAGTATTCTATAGCTATATCTACCATAAACCATAGTTAAGCCACCTATAAACCAACTTGGCTATCTTGGGGGCCCCATCCTGTATCATGTGCTTGGGAAACTTTATTCGTAGCTCCGAATCGCTCCCTCCATTCATCACTGGATAGACAGTTCCGGGTATATCCCATATCACAACCGCTGGATAGAACCATTCCCATTAACTCCCACTAAATCCCATTAAGTCCCATTAAAATATATTAAAATATATTAAAATCACATTAAACCCATTAAAACTACATGAAATCCAATTAAATACCATTAAGTCACCATTGCGGATGGGTTAATCGATGGTTATTTACCATGTGGGGACCAAGAAAGATAGCAAAGTTGGGGCACATAGGTCCAATTTTTCTATGGTTTATTATACGCAAACAACTATGGTTTATAGTCCGACTAAATCCCTATGGAATACCATAAAGTCCCATTAAATCCACATGGTGATTTACCAAGTACCATGCAATACCATGTCCACCGGGCCTCAAGATGGTCTGTTGCTGCAAACCTCAGCTGTTAAGGACCGAGCGCTTCTGGGAGTATTGAGTTCCTTGCCTGGAAAACCATGTGGGTATGTCTGAACATGTTACATAGTTATATGTATGTATATATATATAGCTATATATATATAACTATATATATGTAATTATTATATATGTAGTTGTTATACAGTCATGTATATAGTTATACCCAATTATTAGGACTAGACGTCCACTATGATTATAACCATATTATGATGAGGATATGAGTGTGTGTGAAGATGGGTACCCCCAAATGGCTATATTGATACCCTCTGGTAAACATACAACAAACTATGGAACATCACCATGCTATTAATGGGTAAATCAACTATTTCTATGGGCCATTTTCCAGTTCGCAAACTGTTAGTTTACCAGAGGGTACAGAGAATAAGTGCTGACCCATCGCAGAGATCTGGTCAAATGTTTTTTCGAAAAAACAATCAGAGGAAACCATGGGTTTTTTCGCAACTGCTAGCGGGAAGATTTCCTATGCCAACCCAAACAACCAGAAACCACACCATGGCTGTGACAACCTATGGTGAAGAATCTCTAACATGGCTGGCGCTGGGGGAACACCATGCCTGAAACATGCTCTAACGATCTCGTTTCAACCCGTTACTGTCCAGTGAATCTGTGAGAGCGGATCTAAAAACATCTAAAAAACAATGGTAGGTAATGGATCCTCTGAAGTTGACTTTAACAAACCTACTAGACTATTAGCTGTTTAAATTGTGCTCGCCATAGGGGTTGAGAAGGGAATTTTGGGAACCCGGCTCTACGCCAAACTTCCGCATTGGGAAGCCTGGAATCAAAAGAATGGGGAATACGCGTCTAAGAAATCTCATGAAAATTCGATCGATTTGAAGCAGAATCTTGGGAAGTGATTTTGAGGTGTTCTAAACCGTATAGCAGAATGGGAAAAAAAATCGAAGTTTAGCGTCCACGACGACCTTCGTCACAATGCCGTGCGCAAAAGTGCTGTCTGTAGCCAGGCTTTGCAGGTAACAACGCTGTGCAGTAGCCATTTTGATCAGTTGGTTGCCTCAAAGTAGTTCGTCCTGTTCGTAACAAATGGCGGTTCTGTCGAAGCAGCGACACCAGCTTTGCCAACACCTGGCGTCACCAGGATGTGGCACCAATCCACTTCTGTGCGACGCACATTTTTCATCTGTCGATCCACTCTAAAAAGATTAGAACATACATGATCGTACATGTGTGGTATATATATATATATGTACACATACATACCCAGACGCTCAAACAATGATAAGAATGCCTGTATGTGTTTAATCGTGTATGTAGGGGGTAGCATTTTTTTGTGGGGGGACTGTATTTGCGATCAAGTATATATGGGTTTATGGTTGATGTATGCATGTATGTAGGTAGATATGTATGTAGGTTGCTAGGTATGTGTGCAGCTGTGTATGAATGCATGTATGTATATACATGTCCAAATACCGATATGGAAAAGATGGTGGTTGACCACCGTGTCATCTCTAAATAGTAAGACTAAGATATACTTAGTCCACTTGCAAGACATAAGTTCAAGGTCAGGCTGCCCAGAATGACAGAGAGAACAAACTACTGTGGATGGTTGCGAAATCCTGCACCAGTTGGTAACTATTGATAACTATTTATGAAACACTGTAAATATTGGAATTATAATGGGATACAGTAAACCATCTACCAACTGTGCAGGATTTCTTCCATCCACAGCATGACATGGATGAGACACCCAACCACGCAAGTTTCTTCACCCATGGTGCTTGGTGGTGTGCGAACAAAACACAAATCCTTCAGCATCCTTCAGCCAAGGATCGTTCTTCAATCTTGTCACGCTCTGCCTGAGGGGCTGCATGGGCAAGGACACCAAGTATAGGGATGGTGATCCTGAAAATATCACAACACATCAAGACATATCAAAGCCTCCAAATTAGCAATTTTGAATGCACTTGTCATATTTCCCAATTTGACAATGGGAAGTCCCAATTTGTTCATGGGAACATACTTTGCAACCATCTTTACTACAATATATGAATATGTATATATATATATTATTCATTATAGGTTTCATTTATATAAAATGGTGGTACCACCAAATCATCCATTTTAATAAGATTTTCCATTATAAACTATCCATTTACGGCTATGGCCATGGCTCAAAATCTGGACTTTGGGTATGCGGGTCAAGTCCCCATGTGGTTTGGTTATACAGTTTGGGGCCCCCGTTTAGCTAAGTTGGTGCATATAACTCCAATAACTATAGTTTATTATACCATATTTGTTTCCTAGATGCTCCATGTCCATGTATGGAATATTTACCTACAAAACTGAGCCATTTTTGGGGTGTAGGTAAATATTCTATACATGGAGCATCTGGGTTTTGGTTACTTGCCACTTTTTCGTTGGTTTTGCGATTTATCACAAATGCTTCCAGGTTCATATTTTGGCTGGATGAATCTAATCAATGGCCATTCCAGGATCCTAAATTGGAGGTACCTACCATATATAAGGCCTATATAAGGCCTATATAAGGGGATATCCCATTGATCTATATAATCTTCTGTTATTAAAAGCTCCTGAGCTATGGAGCATCTGTGGGTTCAAAAAACTGATTCGTCACCGAGCAATTGGTGAATACCCACGGATTTCTTGTTGATCAAATTCCAGTGTTTGGTACAGGATGGGGCCCCCAGTCGATAGTGGTCAGTTGCCTAAAAAAAATTGTTGAATTCTATAGTTTATGGTGGATATAACTATAGTTTTCATGGAGGTCATAATGGTTTATCAACAAACTTAGATATCTTGGGGGCCCCATCCTGTAGGATTACCGCCATGGTTTGCTCATCCCAGTGATCCCCATTTCTGTTGTTAAAAACCCACCCTGTGTTGGGGAAGAAATCATCCCTTCCCCCGTTCATATTAAACACCTAAACGAAACCATGGTTTAGTAGTGTATATATATATAGAGAGGTTTCCTGAAATAGGGGTACCCTAGTTATCATGCACTTTAATGGGATGTTCCATGCAATAAACCATCCAATGCTCGCATGAAATAAACCCCCATTAATGGAACTCCCCAAATATCATTTTTGAAAAAAAACGCAATTTTGCCTCCTTAAATGATATTAAACCCAATGGGAAGATTCACATTATTTCAACCCAATTGAGAAAAGTGGATATTTTGCCTCCCAGCACAGCAAAATGAATTTTGCCTCCATGTTGCTGGGAAGATTCACATTCTGCTGCGACACCCAATGTCTTGCCGGTTCATGTTAAATTTAATTTTCCTGGCGTTCTTTTGGACACTTTTTCTTGGGAAAAAAAAAATGGAAAAAACCAACCTTTGCTGGTTAGACAATGTCAAATTCCATTGTTCTCGGCTAAAATTCCAGTTTTTCTTGCGAAAAAAAAAACATGTTTGGTACATTTCCTGGGTTGGACCACCCCCTTTCTCCGTGAAAATAAAAGGCTCGCCTCAAGCTCAACAGCCTCATCCAAGGGTTCAGCCGCCAAGCCTGCCAGCTGCTGCTGCAACCTGGGAATGGTGAGTGACCAAGGGCCGATGAGGGTGGAATTCTACCCAACTAATGTGGATACATTGGGTTAATGGCCATTTCAGGGAAAGTGGAGGTACCTACCATAAGGATCCATAAGGGCTATGTAAGGGGTAGTCCCCGAAAATATGGTTTTCTGTGGTACTGTGGTACTGTACCCCGATTTTAGGGACCTGAAATTTCCTATGGATAATATGGGGATATAGTGGCGCTATTCAGTGGGGATGCTATATTGGCGTTCTTTTCTGAAAATGGGGTTACGGCATATGCCTATGCATAAAAAATGTTTGCGGTATATCCTTTTCTTTTCAATAGCAACCTGTTAAATTACCAGAGGGTATATCTATATTAATCCCATTATCAACCACTATTCACCCACTATCATTGATTATTAACCATCATTAACCACCAGTAACCATCCTTAGCTTACGCACATAAATGGTATTCAACATAGCCATGGAAAATCATTTCAATAGGTACATCATCTATAAATGGGTCCTTTTCAATACCAAACTGTTGGTTTACCAGAGGGTATATACATATAATACAATAACAATATAATGTGGGTAAACCAATAATAAACAATCACCCAGATCATCAATAATAACCAATAATAGCATCCCATATGCCATGGTATTATGCTATTGTAATGGAGGTTTTTTCACTATAATCATTGCCAATCTTAGATACCCTGCAAAAAATGACAAATTCTTTGCTGGTGAACGTAGATATTCCCATCAATACCAAAAGACTAGTTAGGATTAGTTTGCATCCATGTAAGATTGACCTAGTAATATGCTATATTTATGTTAGTTATCAAAGGAAGTTTAGGGGGAGAAACTTCCGTGTTACGGACTTTTAGAATGTCAGGGAAAGAGTTAGTCAAAGAAAGAGTTAGCAAAGAAAGAGTTCGTCAGGGAAAGAGTTAGTCAAAGAAAGAGTTAGTGAGGGAAAGAGTTAGTCAAAGAAAGAGTTAGTGAGGGAAAGAGTTAGTCACAGAAAGAGTTAGCAAAGAAAGAGTTCGTCAGGGAAAGAGTTAGTCAAAGAAAGAGTTAGTCAAAGAAACAGTTAGTCAGGGAAAGAGTTAGTCAAAGAAAGAGTTAGTGAGGGAAAGAGTTAGTCAAAGAAAGAGTTCGTCAGGGAAAGAGTTAGTCAAAGAAAGGGTTAGCAAAGAAACAGTTAGTCAGGGAAAGAGTTAGTCAAAGAAAGAGTTAGTGAGGGAAAGAGTTAGTCAAAGAAAGAGTGAGGGAAAGAGTTAGTCAAAGAAAGAGTTAGTGAGGGAAAGAGTTAGTCAAAGAAAGAGTTAGTCAAAGAAAAAGTTAGTCAAAGAAAGAGTTAGTGAGGGAAAGAGTTAGTCAAAGAAAGAGTTAGTGAGGGAAAGAGTTTGTCAAAGAAAGAGTTAGCAAAGAAAGAGTTAGTCAGGGAAAGAGTTAGTCAAAGAAAGAGTTAGTGAGGGAAAGAGTTAGTCAGGGAAAGAGTTAGTCAAAGAAAGAGTTAGTGAGGGAAAGAGTTGGTGAGGGAAAGAGTTAGTCAAAGAAAGAGTTAGTCAAAGAAAGAGTTAGTCAAAGAAAGAGTTAGCCAAAGAAAGAGTTAGTGAGGGAAAGAGTTGCCGATGGAGTTTTGGAGGAGTTGCCGATGGAGTTTTGGAGGAAGTCTCGCACGAAATGCGTTTTTGAGAGATAGCAGATGCACGAAACCCTATGTTTTTCCATACAAAGTCCGTCCCCGAACCTCGATGATCTACCTCTGCGGTGCAACGGTTGCGAGACGGTCTCGTGTGTGGTCGGATCGGTCTCGGATCATGGTCGGATCATTCTCGGATCGGTTCCGCATTGTAAATGGGGTGTCACCTGTGTTTCGTGCATTTGTGGTCGACAGAATTCCATTGTGATTTGCAACTGTAGGATCGTTCCCGCAATGTAAATGGGATTGCAAGTGGTGCTGGTGGATGAGTTGCCGATGGAATTCCATTGTGATTTGCAACTCTAGGATCGTTCCCTCACTGTAAATGGGATTGCAAGTGGTGCTGGTGGAGGAGTTGCCGATGGAGTTTTGGAGGAAGTCTCGCACGAAATGCGTTTTTGAGAGATAGCAGATGCACGAAACCCTATGTTTTTCCATACAAAGTCCGTCCCCGAACCTCGATGATCTACCTCTGCGGTGCGACGGTTGCGAGACGGTCTCGTGTGTGGTCGGATCATGGGCGGATCATGGTCGGATCATTCTCGGATCGGTTCCGCATTGTAAATGGGGTTTCACCTGTGTTTCGTGCATTTGTGGTCGACAGAATTCCATTGTGATTTGCAACTGTAGGATCGTTCCCGCAATGTAAATGGGATTGCAAGTGGTGCTGGTGGATGAGTTGCCGATGGAATTCCATTGTGATTTGCAACTCTAGGATCGTTCCCTCACTGTAAATGGGATTGCAAGTGGTGCTGGTGGAGGAGTTGCCGATGGAGTTTTGGAGGAAGTCTCGCACGAAATGCGTTTTTGAGAGATAGCAGATGCACGAAACCCTATGTTTTTCCATACAAAGTCCGTCCCCGAACCTCGATGATCTACCTCTGCGGTGCGACGGTTGCGAGACGGTCTCGTGTGTGGTCGGATCATCGGATCTCGGATCATGCTCGGCTCGGATCGGTTCCGCATTGTAAATGGGGTGTCACCTGTGTTTCGTGCATTTGTGGTCGACAGAATTCCATTGTGATTTGCAACTGTAGGATCGTTCCCGCAATGTAAATGGGATTGCAAGTGGTGCTGGTGGATGAGTTGCCGATGGAATTCCATTGTGCTTTGCAACTGTAGGATCGTTCCCTCAGTGTAAATGGTTGCGTCAAGGTTGCTTCGTGCCGTGGCTGCATTGGTAATACTATTGTCTTTTGCAGCTGGACTTCGTAAATCGTATTGGAGTGGCTGCATGAAGGCTGCCACAGTGATTTGTCAGCAGATTTTCTTCATTTCGGCGCTAGTGAATTTCCTTCTAAAAATCATTTTAAAAAGTGCTTCAAAATCGTCTTTTTTTCGCTCTGGCGTCGAGATCCGGTTTTGGAGCTACAATTTCCGACGCCGTTGTGCGTAGTTCTATTGTGTTTTGCAACTCAGTCTCTGCAGATCGCATTGTAATGGCTGCGTCAAGGTTGCTTCGTGCTGTGGCTGCATTGGTAATACTATTGTCTTTTGCAGCTGGATCTCGTAAATCCTATTGGAGTGGCTGCATGAAGGCTGCGACAGTGATTTGTTAGCAGATTTTCTCCATTTTGGCGCTAGTGATTTTCCTTCTAAAAATCCTTTTAAAAAGTGCTTCAAAATCGTCTTTTTTTCGCTCTGGCGTCGAGATCCGGTTTTGGAGCTACAATTTCCGATGCCATTGCGCGTAGTTCTATTGTGTTTTGCAACTCAGTCTCCGCAGATCGCATTGTAATGGCTGCGTCAAGGTTGCTTCATGCTGTGGCTGCATGCGTAATACTATTGTCTTTTGCAGCTGGACTTCGTAAATCGTATTGGAGTGGCTGCATGAAGGCTGCGACAGTGATTTGTCAGCAGATTTTCTCCATTTTGGCGCTAGTGATTTTCCTTCTAAAAATCATTTTAAAAAGTGCTTCAAAATCGTCTTTTTTTCGCTCAGGCGTCGAGATCCGGTTTTTGAGCTACAATTTCCGATGCCATTGCGCGTAGTTCTCTTGTGTTTTGCAACTTAGTCTCCGCAGATCGCATTGGAATGGCTGCGTCAAGGTTGCTTCTTGCTTTGGCTGCATGCGTAATGTCTTTTGCAGCTGGATCTCGTACATCGTCTTGGAGTGGCTGCATGAAGGTTACGAAATGGATTTGTTAGCAGATTTGCTCCATTTTGGTGCTAGTGTTTTTTTTGTTGCACGTAGGTTTAGAGCAGTGTGAAGTGTGGGGCGTGAAGAGTGCAGTGTGAAGTGTGAAGTGTGAAGGAAGCAGTGGGAAGTGAGAAGTGTGAAGTGTGGAGTGTGAAGTTTAAGTTTGGAGTGCGAAGCGCGCAGTGTGAAGTGTGAAGTGTGAGGTTTGGAGTGTGAAGGAAGCAGTGGGAAGTGAGAAGTGTGAAGTGTGGACTGTGAAGTGCGAAGTGTGAAGTGTGAAGTGTGGAGTGTGAAGTTTGAAGTTTGGAGTGCGAAGAGTGCAGTGTGAAGTGTGAAGTGTGAAGTGTGGAGTGTGAAGTTTGAAGTTTGGAGTGCGAAGAGTGCAGTGTGAAGTGTGGAGTGTGGAGTGTGAAGTTTGAAGTTTGGAGTGCGAAGAGTGCAGTGTGAAGTGTGGAGTGTGGAGTGTGAAGACTTTGCTTCGTCTCTCGCTGAAAAAATCAAACGGTTGTCGAGGGAAGGACACGGTCGGGACAGGGTGTCTTTGAACTATAGGTCATTTATTTTTGGGAAACTTCCGCCGCCGGCTTGCCCGGGTCTATGTTAATATGCTATACCCTCTGGTAATTTAACATAGCTATTGAAAATCACCATTTTAAATAGGTAAATCAATGAACTAAATGGGCCATTTTCCATGGCTATTTTGACATAACCAGAGGGTATTTATGTTAGTTTACCAACCGGTCACCCGGGCCGCGGAACTTCTCCTCCTTCAGGACGGCGGAGTGTCGCCGCTGACGAATCTCATGCTCCAGGTCCTTCACTTCGGCATCCTGTCGGCGCCACGGCGCCACGGCGCCAAAGTGGTGCGCCACGTTTGGCGAGCCAAAATATGCCAAAATGGCGATGATAAAGGGTGATTTCACTCTCAAACATGTGGACAAACATGTATTAAACATGAGGATGAAAAATGTGACTTAAACGCAAAAGGTGGTTGAGCCATAAAAAACATTGACCAATAAACATCTTGGTTTAACCAGTGAAAAATCGGGTTGAACCAATAATAATGGTGGTTTAACCACAAAAATTGGTTAACCATAAAAATTGGATTCACTGAGTATTCACAGGTAAAAATAGTGGGTGGCCAGCATCAAACATTGTGATTTCTTTCCAAATGTGAATACCCTCTGGACGGTGCATCCTCAATTCTGTAGGAAATGTCCATGGAAAATCATCTCTGAAAGGATGTAAGGGTATGTGGTGGGTTCCATAAATGGTGGTACCTAATAGCTGGATGGTTCATGGTGGAAAATCCTATTACACCAGATGGCGCAAAAAAAAATAGCAACGGTAGATGGCGCAGCCTGGCCGTAAAATCGCTATTTTTGCCAGATGGCGCGACACCAAATAGCATCGCTATTTTTGGTAAATAGCGATTGCTTTCTTTTTCTTTTGATTCTCACCAAATTTTGCAGTGGTAACGTCCAATAGATACGCAGTGGTAACCTATAGATGGCGCAATCCACAGTCATGGTTTCCCGAAGAAAAATCCTGTTCCCTGTCCCTTTCCCTTTCTCCTTTCCCTTTCCTGGATCAAAACTGGCAATGTCAAGAAACAACATGGTGATGCACCCATCAAGAAAGTCGATGTCAACCATGGGGACGCAACCTGCAAATTTGGGATTATAAAATTGTGACCGTTGGTCCTCTTCTGATTTCCTAGTTCACACGAGCCTCCTCATAGGGATATTGGGTTGGACCATGATGCACCCCAATTTCCAAGCATGTGCCATGGTCATCATTGCGTTGTAGAGACATATTATATAGTTAGACATAGGCCATACAGCTATCAAAATTGACGACTCGGGCAACACAAATGTTGCTGATTGCTGGTATCAAATTACCCCCTTCGTGGTGGTACCCTGTTTTGACCCATGCCCATGTCTAGTGAGACCGGCCAAACGAGCAGTGGCTGCGATCTACCCCTGTTGGTTGATGATCCCATAGTGTAGAAAATGTCCCTATGTTCCCCATGTCTTTATGGTCATAAACTGAGGGCACTTCCATCATATTTTGAGACAAACCCAAATATGATAATTGTATAATTCATATATATATATATATAATCATATATATATACACATAATTATATATATATATTATGTATATCCCCATTGTAAATACCTCTTGTACTCCGTTAAACAAGTTGAACAATGGTGAAAGCACCCTATTTGACCAATGGGGGTACTCCCGCAGGACTAAACCCGCAGCACCCCTCCTCCAGCAACCGCAAGTACTTCGACAGCGCTTCTTCTCGTTCATGTTCTCTGCTGGTTCCTCGGCACGACACAACGAAGACACTGAGGACGAGCGACTGGGGCAAGGTCAGCTACATTCCAATCGGTTCCAGACATTTCGGGGAGTTTCCATTGGTAAAGCGAAATATGAAACCGACAAAAAGTGAACAACATCCATTGGAAGCTGCAAAAATGCTGGAAATGGCTCGAATTACCCAATTTCTGTGAGTTTAAAGTATCCATGAACAGACATGGCTGGCTGGAGAATCACCGGGGAAATGTTCCAGCCAGATTCATCAAACATCATCAAACATCAAACATAACAATTTCTTTCACTTTCAATCTAAGTTCCCTTGAATAATTATGCACGTATTTTGCATCGGCATGACATATCTCGTTCTCACCAGATGGACAGCCACAGTCCAGCGGCGGTCTACAGCTTCCCCTTTCTGCTTCCAGATTTTTCATAGCGCATCTTAGATGCTCGCCACAGAACCTTATATTATGGGCCAATTGTACCAGCCTCCAATCGAAGCTCCAAAAAACAAGTCGCTTCACCCATCAGCTTTTTGGAATCTACAGTACTGGTTAGTTACATATTCACCATGTTTGATGATAAAATTGTAAACCACGTTCAGTTTTGTAGCTTCTGACTGCTAGTTGGTTTCAACCCCCAAAATATGCCAGTTAGTCATTGGGGGTCATCATCTCATTTCTATGAGGACAATCTAAGATTCTACCACTAAACCAGATCATCATTGCCTTTAGCTAGATACTTAGATCATCTGGTGTAATGGATGAATCTAAGATTATACAATCTACCATGAAACCCCAGATCATCTATACGCAATGATATGCCCATTCTATTTCTGCTTCCCCATGTTACCCTCTGGTAATTTAACATAACTCATGGGAAAATCACCATTTTCAATGGGAAAATCCACTATTTCTATGGTGATTTTCAATAGCTATTTTGACATAACCAGAGGGTAGATGATCTGGTGTTTCATGGTAGATTGTATAATCTTAGATTCATCCATTACACCAGATGATCTAAGTATCTAGCTAAAGGCAATGATGATCAATAGCTATGTAACAAATTACCAGAGGGTACTTGAAATCACCAGCCAATCATCTTTTTTTTGGCACTAGGTCCATGTTGCTCAACTCTTCCCGACTATGCCACACCTTGGTCAACTCCAAAAATTGGCGCATCTCTTGGGGGGGTTACTGTCTTGGTTATATATCCCATAAAAATATCCTATTATACCACCAATAAGTTGCTTAAGTTTGACCATTTTGGAAAAATAAACTATATATATAGCTTATATATAATTGTATAATTATATATACATATATATATAGAGAGAGAGAGGGAGATGTCGTTAATTACATCATATTATATCCCCATTTGTTGGTGAAATTCACTGCTTACATCACCATGTTTGCTTGGTAAACTCCCCATCAGCCTATTTATCCATAGGCCGGGTCCGTTTCAAACAGATATACACACCATTGTATTCATTTATATATATATATATATTCGTATGCATAGTACCCATTTTAATAATAGTGTCTATATTAGAGACATTAGATATCCCTATATATTATACTTTCAATGTATCCGCATAGTTGCTTAAATCCCATTAAATCATCATTTAGATCCCATGAAAACACATTGAATCACCTTTTTTTTGGCTAAATCACCATTAAATGCCACTAAATCACCATTTAAATCCCATTAGATCCCATTCAATCACCATGAAATTCCCACGAAACATGTCCAATATCACCCAGCCACGTTCCAGGATGCTGCGGCGACGGTCTTCTAAGGATAACTCTAGACGCTCCACCTTCAGCATCAGCCTAGGTCTTTTAACCCTGAAAAACCTTACAAAAAAACTGCGGGTAAAGGTGGGTTTTACATCGTTTTAAACTGCGAGGAAAAGGTGGGATGGAAAAAAATCGAACATTCTGGAACATGGAGATTGAACATGATTTTAATATGATTTTAATAGAAAGTTTATGATAGGTTTCTGTTGGTTTCTATATACAGTAACTAATATAACTCATAACTGTACTCAACTGTTGAGTTTATGGTGGATATATGTGGATACATGAAAATCGAGCCAAATGAAACTAAACCAAGCATTTTTGACGCAAGTGGGGAGTCTTTCCTATGGGAGTCGTCTTGATGTGTACTTTTGACCAGCAAAATGAGGGGTTTACATTGTTTCAGCAGCAAGCCACGGGAAATTCACCATCAGCAATGCAGATTTCACCATGAAAATTCCACGAGGGATTTCAGTGATTTGATCATCAACACGTATCAAATATGTAAATATGTGGATTCTTTGAGACTTTAAGATCTTTTAAGCATCAAGAAACTCAGGTTTAATATGGTTTAATCACCATTAAATAATGGTCTCCACAAAATCAAGGGCGTGCAGGATCATCTCCGATTCGGCGGTCATATGTTCACCCATCCGACCAAAATATCCCGACGGAAAGGCACACCCTGTAGCCAATCTAAAACTGTCCCCTGGCTAGTTAGAAATATAGCACTGGCGATATCATATCATGCTGGCATATATTTGTCGTGGATGTTATACCAAATTCTCCCTAATTACTATGGACAAAAAAGCAAGCTCATCGCAGTTTACGAGTGTTATCTAACTATAGACTTGACCAAGCTTGTCATGATGTCAATGATGGTATACAAATGATTTAATCAACAAAATAACCATGAATTGTTCATATGGTCAATCTAAGATCTCCTGCCAAAATCATATGTTTTTATGTAAATCGTTCGTAATATTGTGTAATTAGATACATTCCCCCAACATTTAACCGAAAATATATTCATAGGTATATGTAATGTGGGATACAGATTAGTGTGGGGATACAGAATTGTGTCCACAGACTCCAAAATTATTTTGTAACTTTGGAAATGATCGAGGGGTACAGTTTTGTGTCCACAGGATTTTGGTGTAAGTTTTTTTTCATTTTTTTGTTTTTTTAGTTTTTAATTGTTTTTTATTTTTATTTTGAATTATAATATGTTTTTTTATTATGTTTTTAGTTTATTTTAAATTATTTTTTATTTTTATTTTTAATTATAATGATTTTTAATTTAATTATTTTTTATTTTATTTTAAATTATTTTTTTATTTTTATTTTTAATTATAATAATCTTTAATTTAATTATTTTTTATTGTATTCTAAATTATTTTTATTAAAAAAAATACATAATAATTTTTGATACTTTTTTTTATTTTTAAATATATATTTTTTTATTGTTTTTTAAAATTGTGTCAGGATACACAATTGTGTCATTGTGTCAGGATACACAATTGTGTCTTGGTCTTTTTTTGTTGCTCAAACATGTTTCATTCTTTTCATTGTTTTAAGCTTTTTTCTTTTACTTTTTATTTTCCATCATTGAAATTTTCCAGATGCCTTCCACAGAAAATTACATCCAGGTACACAATAGTGTGGTTTGTTTGGAGGGTACACTATTGTGTCCAGCTGCTTTCCTGAGGTCATGATTTTTTGATTTTTTTCAATCATTTCCTTTACCTTTTCCTTTGCTAGCTAAAGCGTTTTCCTTTCAATTAATTTCTTTCTTAGTTTCTTTCATTTGAAATTCTCAGAAATGACCAGTTTCCCAAAATATATGATGCCTTATTAAAACCCAATTAAAAAACATCACTCAAACAATTTTTCAAGGGGGTAGTCCATGAGCAACCCTGATACATAATAGTGTGGTTTGTTTGAGGGTACACTATTGTGTCCAGCTGCTTCCTGAAGTCATGATTTTTTGATTTTTTCAATCATTTCCTTTACCTTTTCCTTTGCTAAAGTTTTTTCTTTTAATTAGTTACTTTCTTAGTGTCTCTCATTTGAAATTCTCAGAAATGCCCAGTTTTCCAAAATATATGATGCCTTCTTAAAACCCAATTTAAAAACATCACTCAAACAATTTTTCAAGGGGGTAGTCCATGAGCAACCCTGATACATAATAGTGTGGTTTGTTTGAGGGTACACTATTGTGTCCAGCTGCTTCCTGGGGTCATGATTTTTTGATTTTTTCAATCATTTCCTTTACCTTTTCCTTTGCTAAAGTTTTTCTTTTAATTAATTACTTTCTTAGTTTCTTTCATTTGAAATTCTGAGAAATGCCCAGTTTTCCAAAATATATGATGCCTTATTAAAACCCAAGTAAAAAACATCACTCAAACAATTTTTCAAGGGGGTAGTCCATGAGCAACCCTGATACATAATAGTGTGGTTTGTTTGGAGGGTACACTATTGTGTCCAGCTGCTTTCCTGAGGTCATGATTTTTTGTTTTTTCAATCATTTCCTTTACCTTTTCCTTTGCTAGCTAAAGTGTTTTCCTTTCAATTAATTTCTTTCTTAGTTTCTTTCATTTGAAATTCTCAGAAATGCCCAGTTTCCCAAAATATATGATGCCTTATTAAAACCCAATTAAAAAACATCACTCAAACAATTTTTCAAGGGGGTAGTCCATGAGCAACCCTGATACACAATAGTGTGGTTTGTTTGGAGGGTACACTATTGTGTCCAGCTGCTTCCTGAGGTGATTTTTTTTTTTTTGCAATCATTTCCTTTACCTTTTCCTTTGCTAAAGTTTTTTCTTTTAATTAGTTACTTTCTTAGTGTCTCTCATTTGAAATTCTCAGAAATGCCCAGTTTCCCAAAATATATGATGCCTTATTAAAACCCAATTAAAAAACATCACTCAAACAATTTTTCAAATGGGTAGTCCATGAGCAACCCTGATACACAATAGTGTGGTTTGTTTGGAGGGTACACTATTGTGTCCAGCTGCTTCCTGAGGTGATTTTGTTTTTTTTGCAATCATTTCCTTTACCTTTTCCTTTGCTAACGTTTTTTCCTTTTAATTAATTAATTACTTCTTAGTTTCTTTCATTTGATATTCTCAGAAATGCCCAGTTTCCCAAAATATATGATGCCTTATTAAAACCTAATTAAAAAACATCACTCAAACAATTTTTCAAATGGGTAGTCCATGAGCAACCCTGATACACAATAGTGTGGTTTGTTTCGAGGGTACACTATTGTGTCCAGATGCTTCCTGGTGTGATGTTTTTTTCAAGCCTTTACCTTTTCCTTTGCTAAAGTTTTTTTCTTTTATGTTTTTTCTATGGTATTACTATTGGATTTCTATGGAATTCCTATGGGGTTTCCATGATGTTTCTATGATATTTCTGGAGGATTTCTATGGGATTTCTGAAGGGGTGCTATGGGAGTTCTATGGTATTCTTATGGGATTTCCATTGGATTCCTATGGGATTTCTATGGTATTTCTATTGGATTCCTATGGAATTTCTATTGGATTCCTGTGGGATTTCCAAGGTATTTCCATGATGTTTCTATGATATTTCTATGGGATTATTATTGGAATTTTCATGGGATTTCTTTTGTGGTTCCTATGCTATTCCATGTTATTTCTATGATCTTTCTATGGTATTTCTGTGAGATTCCTATGGGATTTCCATGGTATTTCTATGATATTTCTTTGGGACTACTATTGGATTTTTATGGGATGTCGATTGAAAGTAAATTGGCAGTAAAATGAAATCAATTGAAAGTAAATTCAAAGTAAATTGAAAGTAAATTGAAATCAATTGAAAGTAAATTGAAATCAATTGAAAGTAAATTGAAATCAATGGAAAGTAAATTGAAATCAATTGAAAATAAATTGAAATCAATTCAAAGTAAATTGAAATCAATTGAAAGTAAATTGAAATCAATTGAAAGTAAATTGAAATCAATGTTAATCTAATTCAAATCAATTGAAAGTAAATTGAAATCAATTGAAAGTAAATTGAAATCAATTCAAAGTAGCTTCAAATCAATTGAAAGTAACTTCAAATCAATTGAAAGTAAATTCAAATCAATTGAAAGTAAATTGAAATCAATTCAAAATGAATTGAAATCAATTGAAAGTAAATTGAAATCAATTCAAAGTAACTTGAAATCAATTCAAAGTAACTTGAAATCAATTGAAAGTAACTTGAATTCAATCGAAAGTAACTTGAGATCAATTGAAAGTAAATTGAAATCAATTGAAAGTAAATTGAAATCAATTCAAAGTAACTTGAAATCAATTGAAAGTAACTTGAATTCAATCGAAAGTAACTTGAGATCAATTGAAAGTAAATTGAAATCAATTGAAAGTAAATTGAAATCAATTTTAATCTAATTCAAATCAATTGAAAGTAAATTGAAATCAGTTCAAAATAAAAAAAACAATTGAAAGTAAATTGAAATCAATTCAAAGTAACTTCAAATCAATTCAAAGTAAATTGAAATCAATCGAAAGTAAATTGAAATCAATTGAAAGTAAATTGAAATCAATTCAAAGTAGCTTCAAATCAATTGAAAGTAACTTCAAATCAATTGAAAGTAAATTGAAATCAATTGAAAGTAACTTCAAATCAATTGAAAGTAAATTGAAATCAGTTCAAAATGAATTGAAATCAATTGAAAGTAAATTGAAATCAATTCAAAGTAACTTGAAATCAATTGAAAGTAACTTGAATTCAATCGAAAGTAACTTGAGATCAATTGAAAGTAAATTGAAATCAATTGAAAGTAAATTGAAATCAATGTTAATCTAATTCAAATCAATTGAAAGTAAATTGAAATCAGTTCAAAATAAATTGAAATCAATTGAAAGTAAATTGAAATCAATTCAAAGTAACTTCAAATCAATTGAAATTCAAAATAAATTGAAATCAATTGAAAGTAAATTCATATCAATTCAAAGTAACTTCAAATCAATTCAAAATAAATTGAAATCAATTGAAAGTAAATTGAAATCAATTTAAATCTATCATTTTTTTTTGATTTCACTGTATTGCGTACCCGGTACCTTGGTTTTTTTACATTATTCTGTATCCAAAATTTGTTTGGGGGCGGCCTCCCCACACTAATCTGTAACCTACATTAACCCTATAACATTATGGTTATGTTATCTATAACCAATATTATGTAATATTTTACCGTTACCATTGTTGGTTATGTGCAAAGTGGAAAGCCGATGTCAGTGCCACGCCATTTGGTGTATGCCCAGAGGTGCTAAACAGAAAGGTCTTCCTGTGAAAAGCTTCGTTTTCACCGCCTGGTTTTGCCCTAAAATCCAATGATGGTCATCCGTTTCCCGATCAAATTGCCAGTTTATGCCGGTTATCAATAGGCTTCTCCCATTTCTAGACACATCCATAAAGACCAAAACCCATTCATTCTGAGCAAAATTTGCATTCAATCCATTATTTGCTAATGAAAGTCCCTATTTTGGTAATGATGGGTTTGACATTTTCCCATCAAACATATCAAATAAATACAATAATATATTGGTTAGATATCCCAATATCCCCATGATATCCCCATGTTTGTTCGTTGAACAACATTTTTTTGTGTGGCTTAAATTTGATACGAGCAATGTTTAAAACCCTTTGTCCTCCCTTCATACTGGTTGTTTTATAGGATTCCCCATATAGGCTAGTATAAGCTCCTGCAACCATCAACCAGCAGGGGTTTTGAACATTTTATGATGATTGGTTGGTTATACATATATATATACATATAATTGTGTATATAATTATTTATATCCCAATAATTCCCATTGAGTTCCTGGTGTTGCTGAATCAATTGTTAATCATTCCATTTTTGTCGCTTAATCCCATTGTTTAGCTTCAAAATCAGTTTCAGAACTTGGATCATCAAAAGCAACTCCAAGGTGTTATAAACCCCAACGAAAATCCCGATCAATGCCACTGAATCCCATGAAGTCACAATGAAATCCCATGAAAATTGATTGAATCGCCATTTGTTGTTGCTTAAATCACTAAATCACCATTTTTTCTCGCCATGTTTGCCGCAAGGTCACATCTTTTCCACTTCCGATTCTTCCAACCTTCGGACTTCCACCTCAAAGGGGTTCGCCGTTCGAAAAAGGGTGACTTCACCAACAAAAGTGATGATTCAATGAGATACTGTGGATGGAAGAAATCCTGCACAAGTTGGGAACTATTAGGTACCTATGAAACACTGTCAATAATGGGATTGTCATGGAAAAAACCATCTACCAACTGGTGCAGGATTTTTTCCATCTACCGTATCATGGGGATATTCTGGTGATATAATGGGATATTTACTTGGGGTACACTTGGGGCATTAGCATGTAAAACCATCGCATTGCAACCCACACAAGCTGGGATATATATATATATATATGTATATATACACATATGTACATATATATATAAGTATATATATATATTACATATGTATATATATATATGTATATATATATATATATATGTATATATATATATGTATGTATATATATGTGTATATATATGTATATATATGTATATATATGTATATATATATATATGTATATATATGTATGTATATATATATATCATATATGTATATATATATCATACATATATGTATATATATATTATATAATATGTATTTATGTATATATACATATATATATATATGTATATTATGCATTCTTTCATTATTATCCCTAAAACATCCTATCACTATGGTAAGATAACGAGGTACAACGGTAACAGCACCAAGTACGTCCCCAGTTCGACGTTGGGATCTCTCGATCTGCCCCAGTGATAAATTACCCTATGGAAAATGGCCAATAAAATGGTAATCTGTTAAGCTCCCATGTATCCCAACTATATCTCCACTATATCCCCATGATATCCTGAGCTAATTGTTCATGGCTAATCCCCATTATCTTCATTACAATCTCCACCAATAGTGTCCTTTTGATAAAAATAGAGGGGCCGGGCGGCCGGTTTGGTATACCATCTATCATCATTTACCTGTTGTTTAAGGGGCTAAACAAACCCCTCTATTATGGTAATTTATGATGGTAACTTATGTTTTAAAGATGTGATTTATGTTTAATCACCATTTAAAGATATGATTTACCAGTTTTAAAGATGTGATTTATGTTTAATCACCATTTAAAGATGTGATTGACCAGTTTTATAGCAGGGAAACACATCTGTGGGAAGTGTGGATTTTCCAGCTGGCCATGTTTGTTTGAGGGAAATTGAGGATAAGAAAATCACGACTTACCCTCTGGTAATGACTAACAGTTTGCGAACTGGAAAATGGCCCATAGAAATAGTTGATTTACCTATCAAACATAGGGAACTGTTAGTTTAGAGGGTACCCCAAAGCGAAAGAACATGGCTAGCCGCGGCTAGCCACCCGCAAGATCCCGCAAGTCGGTTTTACCCTTGAAATCCTTGCGACACTTTGTGTATTGCGAGAAGGAATCGCAGCCCGATTTGGGTTTTTTCCAGGTGGCTAGGCTGATTTGACAAAAATTCTAGCCTCTGGTAAATTAAAAGTAGCTTCTGGAAGAATCCCACATGCCTAGATAATATCTGGGTATTTTATAATAATATTTCACTAATCTGAATTAATGCCATTTGGGGATGATTTCCCTTACTAACCATTATTCCAGGGCTTGGGAGAACAGTGAGGTCGTGATGAAATTTATCCAGATCATATGTACCATTGCTGGATCAATCAAAGCACAGAAATCGAACATCCCCTAGAAACAAGATGAAAAAAGTACAAACTGCTGCCCCAAGTCTGTGGCCTCCGTAGAAAGTAACACAATCAATTCGGTGTTGGCTGGCTAAGCTACCCTAAATATCTGGCTAATGGATCTTCATTCACTGTCAGACTGGGATAGGTGCCCTGAATATCCATCATTTACACTGACGTCGTGGTGACGGTGATCCAATTATGATTTGCTATATATGTATATATTTGTATCTCTGAAAATATCCCAGTAATAACATCCCAGTCAATCCCATGTTTCATGAATAAATATCGTTTCATGATTATCTTAGCCGATCCTATAGTTTGTTCTATATCTGACATATCCCTGTAATTATATATACATATGCGTTTGTCTGAAAATAGGGTCAAATCCATTGGTGAATCTAATCATTTTTCCCTATTAAAAGTACCATAATTGGGGGTATGCACCATTTTCAGACAGTCTGGGGGCGTCCAAAAAACGCTACAGAATGAACGACTAGCGTCACCTGCCGCGTCTCGAGACGCATCGCGCCTCCTTGCGAATCTCGCGGATGCGATTTTCCAGTGCATGTCTTACCTCCTGCAAGGTGTTTACAGAATGTTCGGGTGGAAATGGTAAGGAACAAAATCCCATGGGTTATGCGTTACCCCTAGGATCCATGGTGCTGGTATATATGCTAACATAAAGGGGGTATATTGACGGGATCCATGTTACCATATATAGCATACATGGATCCTATGGGTTAATACCTTCATAGCTTCTTGTTTTTTTGTTACATAGCGGACAAAATTAGCCATGAAAATAGATGATTCATGATTTAACGGGAGGATTATGGGATGATAGTGGGATTAATGATGGTTCATAATGATGAAGAATGGTTAATAATGGGTTATATATATACATACCTTCTGGTTATTTAACATAGCTACAACGTAGCTATGGAACATGACCCATTTATAGATGGTAAACATGATGATTTACCGATCAAAAATTGTGGTTTTCCATGGCAACGTTAAATCCCTGGAGGGTAAATGAGGGATGATACAGAGTTTAAGCAACCAACAACAACGAAGGAATTAACTTGATTCAACCAATAAAGATGCGGAGATAATTGGGATATATGGCGAAATATGGGACTATAGAACCAATGGGGACTAACCGTTAGTAGTGACTAACCATCATATTCTCCTAATATAACTTGGTATTATTGGTGATATATGGGGATATATATATATACATATCCTGATAATGGGAATTATGGGGATGTATAACCCATAATAAGAATAATAATAATAATATTGGGGATATAGAACCAATGGGGATATATTCTCCTTTGGCTGATTCTCCCACCAGGTAATTAATAAGACTCATCCCACTGAGCTCACGATGTGTTTTTTTAACATATATTTTGACATTACTTGGATTTGCTTAAGGACACCCAAAAAAAAATATATGGTGTCCCCAGTGGATAGGGTCCCGAAGCAGTAGATTTCCTAGTTGGAACTTCAGCAAACCAGGATGAGTGCATTTGAAATGGGGAGTCTTCTTGCCAATGTTTTAATTAACACGAATGGGATGGTATATAATGGGGACATGATGAGGATATAGCCAACCTAGCCAACCTATTATAATTCATAATGATACGTGGGTGTGTCTGAAAATGGGCTACAAAGTATAGCGAAAATAGGACAATATTCATAAGGAAAAATGATGGAACACCGATTCATGGGGTGATATGTTCAGACAAACCCACATTCTGCACATTTTTCCTGTGTAGCCTTTACCCAGTAAGCCCATTCTGGCGGGCAAAAAAATCCATGTCGGGTGAATCTCTCATGTACATGGTTTCACTCTCTAGTAATATAACTGGTTGGTGGTTTGAACCCCTCTGAAAAATATGAAAGTCAGTTGGTGTTATTATTCCCAGTATATGGAGAAATAAGAAATGTTTCAAACCACCAACCAGATAATCTGGAAAACTTACATTAGTAGGGGGAAAATATGCTTTCTCAGCAATGGAACATGGGAAGGCTCATGGAATTAATTGGCGTAAACTATGTATGGCCAACACAAATGGGATAGTGACCAACTGAGGCCATCAAAATAATCTCTTCCCCCGTGGTCAAACACCCTCACATTAACCCTCTAACTTCACATGAATGGGTTTCTCATCATCTTGGGAATCTTCAGATGAACTTTCATACTCGTACTCATACGTGTATTCTGTTGAACTGGGGCTCACTGGGTCAGGAGGATATATATACCATGATATACCTTCTTAGCTTCGACCTTGGGTTCAAGCCTGGGCTCCTGTTCTGTTCTGTTCACTGAGTCTTTTGGGTCTTTGCATTGGGGGTTTCGTCCGAGAAAAATCCGAGACCCTTTTGAGCTGCAAAAGACGTCAGAAAAAAACTCGAGGCTGCACAAAGGTCACAGTTTCGATCTCGCAATCAGTGAACGAAGTTCCATGGGCCAAGTCAACGCGATTTTCATGCAGGGTCCACTGGTTGCTGGATCCCCTGGTCCTCACAAATGTCGTTCTCACCCATCTCGCCTGCTTCATCCAGTTCGGAACAAACACCAAAGTTGATCGGCTGTATCCACGATATTTGATCGAAAGCCTGATGCCCTCAGCAAAATCATCACTATATATACAGGATGGGGCCCCCAAGATAGCTAAGTTGGTTTATAAGTGGCTTAACTATGCTTCATGCATATAACTATATAGTTAATGGGGTTGATAATGGTTTATAAACCAACAATTATTACTGGGGGGGCCATCCTGTATGTATATATATATATGTTTAATGGCTAGATCCCCATTTTTGATTTGACTCAATCCGCAATCCAGATAATTATTCTTCATGGCCGTGCGCATATTTTGAGGTATGAGGAGCAAAAGAAATCTTTCAAAACAAATCCAGGCATGCTTGGTTTATGTCGATCAGCCCCGCTTGCACATGCATGTTGCTATATCTCAACGCATATTCATTGTAGACATTCATTTTGACGAACCCAAGCTTTAGGGAGGGTGCACTTTGATCGATGAAAGCAAGTTGAGACTCCATAGGCCAGCGGTATTTCTCAGGGATATGAATGTACCCTCCGATCATAAAACATGGCAATAGAAAATCCCCTATAAATGGTTGTAATGGAAGATCTGGAAAATCATCTACAAACAGTGAATTTTCCATTGCCATTATTGATTACCGGCGGGTAATAAGAGTAAAGCATTTGAGACGTACAACTTCCACCTTCCACTTCTTACTCTCCC